TGCAGAATGCTTCATGCCTCGAGCCATAACCATAGCACCCCTAGTAAGCTTACACTGGCCATCACTGAAAGTGCTGCAATACCCTTCATCATTAAGTTTACCTTCAAAAATCAAATTCAAATGAATGTTAGGAACATGCTTCACATCTCTGAGAACTAACTTCATGCCATTATTCGTCTTTAGATACACATCCCCAATTCCAATGACTTTAACCAAGCCATCGTTGCCCATTTTACTGTTCCAAAATCACCAGATTTATAAGATGTAAAGAAATCCTTCCGAGATGTAGCATGAATAGAGACACCACTGTCAATCACCCAACTAGTCTCAAGGTATGCAACATTTATCATCTCATCATCATAAACAATGAGGAAGTCTGCAGGAGTGGTGGTAGCAACTCTGTCATCACCATCTTTGTCATCTCCATTCTTCGTTCCCTTCCCTTTCTCATTCTTGCTTTCTTTCTTCAATTGCCTGCAATATTTCTTGATGTGTCCCTTTTTCCCACAATGATAACACTTAACATTTGCAAACTTGTTAAACTTGCTTCTGTTGTTATCTCTGTTCTTCGGACCTCTGCTCTTACTTCTCCCCCTATTTTCTGTAACCAAGATCTCTGACTGTGAAGAGGATCCCTGTGTTTTTCTTCTCATCTCTTCATTTAGCAAACAACTTTTGGCTATATCCATTGTGATTACACCTTCTGGAGCGAAGTTAAACAATGAAGTTCTGAGCGTCTCCCATGAGTCCAGTAATGAACCAAACAACCATAACCCTTGTATCTCATCATCAAACTTAATACCCATTCCAGCCAGCTGATTAATAATTTCTTGGAATGTATTCAGGTGATCAGATAAAGGAGTCCCGTCCTGGTATCTCAAAGCCATCATCTGCTTAATCAGAAACAATTTATTATTTCCAGTCTGCCTAGCATATAGCTGTTCAAGCTTACTCCATAGAGAACGTGCATGTGTCTCTCCACTAATATGGTTCAAAACATTATCATCTACCCACTGCCTGATATTCCCACACACCTGTCGATGTAACAAAGTTCGTTTCACATCAGATTTGTTTTCTGGTTTTTCAGCACTAAACACCGGTAGGTAATAATCTTTCACATAAAAAAGATCCTCCATTTTTCCTTTCCATATGTGATAATTTGAACCATTTAAATTAATCTTTCTACTCGTATTTGCTTCCATAACTCAAACTGCCAACCTGGCAATCTGTCAACCTATAGCTCTGACACCACTTTGTTGGGAGAGATGACAATAAACAAATACAGCGGAATAATTCTTCTCCCTATATGCAAGCAAATATAGTATATCTCTACTTTTATATGTGCTGAAAATAATAGAGAACAAATCAATCACACCAAGCTATAAGAACACAAGTAATTTTTTACGTGGAAAACTTCCCCAGTGTGAGAAGAAAAACCATGGGACATAGTCCAGTTAAAATCTCCACTATCAACCAAATAATGGGTACACAAAGTTTTCTCTAATCGCAATTAGAGGCTTCAAAACATCTCATCAAGATAGCAGTAATCTTGACAAAAAACAAAGAGAATTGGAGAGAAAAATACCAAAACCCGGTTACTGTTCACGGGTACGAATCACTGTTCCCGAGCTCAAAATTCGATCTTCACTGTTCAGATTTTAACTCATTAAGTCATGAACCTCTCCTCCAAATTTCAGCTTGACAACGGACGAAGCGGGATCAGCCGTTTGATGAAACCTGGGCAGAATGGAAAAACTTGCGTTTTTCTTCTCTTTGTTCTTTCACTTGCGGCTAACCTCTCTCTCTTTTTATACTAACTTCCTTAGGGTTTTCTTTTCCCTAAAGGCTGGGCTTTGGGCTTTTAATAAAACCCACTTGGGCTTTCCTCCATATAGAAGGAAATAAACCCAACACCATATAGTTTATTAAATAAGTTTAAATTTTGAGTTTGACTCATTTAACTAACAAAAAGTTCAATTGTGAATAATAAACTTTGGATGAAAAACTCAATTTATTTGTTGTCCTACCTATAATATGGGACGAAGTGCTTTAGAATTAAATTTTTTGTTTAATTATGTTTTTAGAGAAGAAATCTTGGAAAGTTGAAATTATTCTCAACCAAACCGCCTTAGAACTCTTTTCGCACCCTTAAATTTTGTTTTCATGTTTAAAGGTATATTTCTTGATGGAAAATTATAAGGGGGCGAACTGTAAATCCGAAAAAACGACCGAATCTTCCGTGGCAAAGCCATGTCAGATTCTATAAAACCTCGTCGCCCACTGGAGAACCACGTTGTTCGCCGACCGTTACTGCCGAACTCATAACCGACAGGCTCCATCTGAGCCGCTGCAACCCAGCCTGTCACCATCTCATAGCCGTCGCCGCCGCTGCACCAAACAACGTCCATCACAGCCGATAGTATCCAAGCATTGCCACCGTCACCATTGATCTCATCTACCTTGCCGAAGTCAATCTCTACCAGCTCTAGCCGCCGCCGCAGATCTCGACTTCTTGCCACTGCCGAGTTGAGCAAACAACAGAGATAAGATCTCTGCCGTCGCAACTCCGTGTCAAAGCCGATCTCTACCACCACCGATCTGATCTGCCGCCTCAGTTTCCCTCAACCAAATCCTATCATCTCCTTGCAAATCCCAACTTCTCTCCTCCTCCCTTCACTTCTTCTTCTTCACCTTGGCAAAAGTTTCATCATTCATTATCTTGGATGTAGGTGGAGTGAGTGGCATATGGAGTGAAATAAAATCTGCAGTGGAGACGGCCTCATCAAAAGAGACCAAATCAACACCAACAACCCCTGATTGTGCTCGCCACCAAACACCCTTCTGTGGTCGCTATCAGAACAGAGTATTCTCTGCCGTCGAGCAACAGAGGACCGACAATACCCACCGAATCTGTCTCGGCCGAACTCAGATCACAAAGGACCGGCAATACTCACCGCCGGCTGCCATTCCTATTCAAACCCGAAGCCGCAGGCTCCGACGTCCTCCTTTATTTTCTTATTTTTTATTGACAAAAGTGCAAACAACCCCCCTGAACTATCATAAATCGGCAATTTACCCCCTGGACTACAAAAATGAACAAGTCAATACCACAACTATCCAAATCGTGCAAATTAACCCATGAAACGCAATTCCGGCCACTTTATAGCCCATGTGACCTGTCATTTTCTTTTAATTCCAAAATTGCCCTTACCTATAAATGAACCCATTTCGTTCTTATGCTCTTTCTCTTTCAAGTCAATTTATATATTTGTATTGTTATATATATATATATATATATATTTTTTATAATACTCATTTGACTCATGATATTACTGAATCCGAATAATGGTTGACAGAGACTACCAAAGTGAAAGGCTACACATATATAGCAATTTATAAAAGTTGCATGCTAATTCATGTATTGTTTTATTCTAAAAATAATTTTCAAATATTAAAAATTGCACGCTAATTGTTGGCTTTTTTTTTAGCAAGCTAATTGTTGGCTTGAATGATATTTGAATACTGCTGTAATTAGAAAGTTATATGTATATTGCTTACATTAACTTCAATAAGAAATTGTCAAATCAATTTATCAAAGTAATATCAATTTAATCAAAATTAATTACAACACAATTAAATGGCATTTTCTAAGACCCGTTAAAATTAGCATAGAAATTAGATTTTGTGAAATTAGAAATTAGTCAAATTAATTTTTTGAGGTAGTTTATATACATACATCAATATAATACTCTGTGTGTGTGTATATTCAATTAAACTTGAGTGGAAGAGAAGAAAAGAACATCGAACTAAAACAATACTTCCAATCAAAAGTTCATGTTTGGAGATCAAACCCATTTTTTTTTTTTTTTTTTTTTTAAGTTGTAGTCTAAAACAAGCACCCAACTTCAACTTCTAAAATCCAACCAAAATAAATAAATAAATATATAAAATTGCCATTTACAATTTCAGAGGCAATTTGAAAAATGGAGAATCAAAAATTGATGGCGACCATGAGCGAGTTCGTTATAGTAAAGCAAAAATTGTAACTGAGATCGAGGGTTCGTAGAGCACGAAGCTGTCCTAGGGTCGTCGGAACCTCGCTGGAGATGAAATTCTTGCTAACGACAAGAACCCGTTGGTTATTCAACTGAGATAATGTTCAGGCCGAGCATCGATGATCCGATCCGGGACGACGGTGAACTCGCCTGGAGCAGCGAACATGCCCATAGGTCACCGAGCTTCAAAGCAATGATCCTGTTGTTGTTACAATACATGTTGGCGAAGTCAATCGTATGGCTCCGTTGTGAAATCCCACATGGAGAAGAAGTCGGATCTAGGCATGTCTTCCAAGGCAGAGGTGGAGCAAATTAGAGTATTGCTATATATATATATATATATATATATATATATATAGCAATACAAATATATAAATTCACCTGAGAGAGAAAGCATAAGCACGAAATGGGTTCATTTATAGGTGAGGGCAATTTTGGAATTAAAAGAAAATGACAGGTCACGTGGGCCGAAAAGCGGCCGAATTGCGTTTCAGGGGTTAATTTACACGATTTGGATAGTTGTAGTACTGACTTGTTCATTTTTGTAGTCCAAATGAATAAATTGCCGATTTGTAATAGTTCGGAAGAGTTGTTTGCACTTTTGCCTTTTTTTATTTCTTTTACCTGGGGGGTGGAAATCTGACGTGGCTTTGTCACGGAAAATTCGATCGTTTTTTCGGGGATACCTTTCGTTTCTCCTGCTCTTTCTTGATTAATGATTTAAGAGCCATGCTTACATTTACAATCTTGTTTTAAGTATCATTAACTCTGAACTTGTTAATATTCATGTTGGGCCACTTGAAATGAGAAAACGACCTAAGAATTATTTTTCTTTCTTATCCCTCTTCTCCGAACAAAAGCTCTTTTATAGTGTGGTCTAAGGTCTTCCTTCCCTTTTTATTTCATTTTTACAAACAGACGAGAAGTATTTGTTAGTACTTCACATCGCATAAATTTACTCCATTAAAACGAATTACCAACCACCAACAAAAGGTTGAAGAAAAATGTGTATTGACCAACTTACCCTGCATTGGAGCATATAATTCAGCATACAACAACACAACACAAGATCCTCTTTTTCGAGTTTCTCCTCCTGTTCACCGAAATTTAAAGCAAGATTTCAAAAAGCAGGGAAAAGCTTTCCCCTCAGCCAAACACTACCTCTCCCAATCACGTGCAACCACGCGGAACGAACCCGATCCGCGAACCAGCCAAATCATACAGGACCCGGAATCCCTGTTGCTGGATATTCCCGATTATTGACAACCCGCCCGTCGTCCCCGCAAATGCAAAGCAGTAAGTACCCTTCACAGCCACCGGAATTAAATAATTGGACGCCGGCAATGACACGTCAGCTCCGACGAAATGCATCACCACCGTCGGCACCTTCACCTCCGTCTTCCCAGTCAAATCAAAGCACGTGTCAAACAAGGAGAAATCTGGGGCCCGCTTCAATCTGGATGCACCTGACCGGAAAGCGTCGCGGAGCGCAGCATAAGCAGGTCGGGTCAACCGCGTCACGGATGTCCCCGAGTCAATTATGACACCGCCATTACCAGACGAGTCAAGCTCAAAAAGCGACGCCGTAATGCCCCGGACTCGGACACCTCCGACACTGATACCAGTGAGTCCAAGGTAGTAGAAAGTGCCGATTTTAGGGTTTGTGAGTAGAGGAGTGAACACAGCAGTTCCCGGAACGGCCGAGTCACCGAACACGACTGAGGACGGTGTAGACGAAGCCAAGCGGTCCGCCAAACAGTATGAGAACTTCCGGCCGAACCGGTCACCGGTCTGACTCGGGAACGACAGCTTGCCTCTGCCGAGGCCCAAAAGACCGGCGGCGCCGACGAACAAGCCTTGGTTGTCGTGGCCACAGCCGAATGCGACATCGTGCACCGTCGTCCGACGAGAAGTCAGTGTTTCGGTGGAGAATTCGCCGAAGGTGAAAGATCCGTCACCGTAGGAGACCTGGTAAAGGCAGGTGTTACGGCGTTGATTACAGCCCGGTGAATCAAGGCGGCGACACAAGAGGGACCCACAGGTGAGGGCGACGAACGACGTGGATTTGGTGGGATCGAAGACTGGGTCGGTCTGGGAGTAGCAATTCCGGCAGGGGGAGCACTGGATCCAGACGACGTCGCTTCCGGTGTCGAGCACCATGTAGGCGTAATTGGGAGGCGTGCCGATGCCCAAGCGCGTGAAGTACTCGCCGCTACCCTGCGCGAGTCCCGAAATGACTGGACTGCTGAAGTCCTTGCCGTGGCTGCTATTGTTGTTTTTGCTAACGGCGGCGATGGACGTCAGCGTTTGGACTCTAACGGTGTCTCTGTGGAGTCTGGTGTTGAAGAGAGCCTCTGGGGTGGCATTGAAGGACAAAGTGTCTCGGTGGTGCAACTGCAACTGTACGGTGAGTGTCGTTTCTGAGTCCATGGTTAAGATTTCGGATTCTTCTTCGCTCCATGAGAGTGAATGTGGTTGTGGGAGAGAGCGTAGAACTAGGTTTTGGTATTCATGAGATTTGGCGGAACAGGCAGTGATACAAAGGAAGACGAAGGCAAAGAGAATGACTCTTGCTTTTCCTTCCATTGTAGAGAGTGTGTGCGTGCAGAGCTTTGGAAAAATAGATAAATGCACAGACAGACAGCAGCTGTTGTGGTTTTTTGGGACAGATGAAATGACGAAAAGGCCCTTGAATTTACAGGGTGAAGACAAATGGATTGGCACAGTACTCACATTCTTTACATGGGGATGAACTTCATGATAATCAAATATTAATCGATGTAATCTGCTTAATGCTGTATGTATGTACCATTGCTACACAAATATTTTTTTTTTGTGGACTGTGTATGTAAACATATATGTACTAATTTGTAAGTGTATGTTTGAAAGGAGAGTTATGGGAAGAGAAAAAAACAAAAGGTCAAATTATGGTATTTCATTTAAAAACAATTATGTCAGAAAATGGAACATTAGTGATTAGTGTTAATTAAAGTGGCCATGGAAAAGAAGTTTAGTGTGGATTTCTGCAATCATAAAACAATAGCATGCTTCTATTTTCGCTCTCATTGATTTAATTAATGTGTTACAATTTGAGTGAAGAAAGTACAAAAAATTTCTGGATCTTATTGAATGGGAAATGCAAGTGGCCGAAAGTAACCAATTAATAGGACACAAGAGTTGACAGACACTCCTGTGAAGCTCGTGCGACTGTAAACCCACCCTACAATGGCTTGGTCTAAACCCGTGATTCTTGTCTGCTATCATCTTAATCCTTATATACATACATACATATACAACATATATTATATGTGTATGTATGTTATATACTGTGAGTCCATGACCACAACAACTCTTACCGTTAATCTTCATTTTCGTAACATCCATAGAGAAAGCACATGAACCATACAGATACGGTTTCTTAATGAGAACTTATACAATGCTTTGAGGTTTGTTTAATCAGCATGGTAAGTATTTTCTTTTTAGATTAAAACCGTCATTTTGTTAGAGCCTTTGGGAAATAATTAAGGCTAAACATATTTGTTTATACCAAATAATTTTTAGTTTAATTTGAAAAGATAAATTCAAGATGTAAAAAGAATGGCTCCCATGTGTATATTACTATATTTCCAAATGACTCCATTCAAAATGATGAATCTCTAAATAAAAGTGGACCGGACCATTCATATTTTAAGGTGAGACAAAGGACAAACTGAATTAAATGACCAATAAGGCTGCAAAAATATGATTTCTTTGTTTGATTTGTTAGGTGATTTGGGTAACACTTTAATGTGAAATGGAAATAAGTAAAAATTTTCTTGTCAGTCATAGGCATGGTCCCTTGGGGGAAAGTAGATAAGGTTAAACTTATTTAAGCATCATTCTTTCCCAACAGTGAATATACTGCAGAAATGAATGGAGTTCATAACTATTAGGCTATCATTCTTTCCCAACAGTGAATGGACGGTTGAATTACAGTTTTGAGTGGAGATAAAAAGTGGTAAAAGTTGAATGTAAGTATGAGAATGGAGCTAACCTTCCGTTGCGCCATGTCTTGCCCCCGGTTTTGAGTGTGGAGATAAGTAGTGGTAAAAGTTGAATACAAGCAAGACAAGATTGAACACTTTCTTAGACACAGGTTTTCCAAAATTAGGGCTAACCCTGCTAAATACAATAGCATAGATGTCAAACAAAGAAAAGTTACAAACATAATCTTAAAGTAAAAGAAAGGTGGGGAACACCCTTGAATTCACAGGAAACTGATACCAAGGTGAGGTGGGTTTAGCTTAAGCACGATGGCTCGGGTCCCTCACAGGGCACTATCCTACCCCTTATAATTGAAGCATGTTTTCAGAATTATGTGGGGCAAGCATGCCAAAAGAGCAAAAAGAAAAAGGGTAAAAAAAAGAGAGTTCAACTGCAAGCATTAGACACAATGTTGCATCACACACATCATAAAGAAAGCAATCAGAAATATACCCAATCATTTCCAGCTGTGGGACAACCAAAATTAAAGGTTAATTCTTGAGAAGAAAAGAAACCTCCTTTCCTACATGTACATTAATCCGTAGCCCAACCCCTCTCCCGACCGTACCTCTCGGACAATGTCTCTTCTTCTTGACCCATCTCAAGGAAAATGATATATCCAAGTTTTTGTTTCATCTGGCATCAACACAGGAGCTATGAGCAATCAGAACACCTTAGGAGTATTAACCACATAACATGAATCATAAATTCATGCACGATAAGTACCAATGAAATCTAAAATTCCTAATCATACAAGTAGAAGGCCACTTTGCTCCACAGTACTTTTAAGCTACTGATTTTTGCCACCCCCATCCACAACAGAAAAGGGGGAGGGTGGGGAGGAGAGGGGGAAGAGACACTCAACTCCCCCATCATGGAAATTTTAAGGTCATGTCATGCAAGAATATTACATTCAGATGTCATTAAGCATTAGTATAGTGCTTCCCCTACCAATGAACTTTCGAGTATTATACTCAGATGTCATTATACATGTTTTAAATACACAATTTATGAACTTACAAATTTCTGAATTGGGCTTCGAAACCCTGGAAAAAGTTTAGGATGCATCACTTAATACTTTATTAGTAATTGTGGTTTTCTAATTACAGTTGTTTGTCCATCACAAAGTTTTCAAAGAAAAATGATATACAAGTCAAATCGGCTTCTGCCAACTCTCTCATAAGGGCACATTGAACCCCACAACAGGGGGTGGCCTCACCGCCCTTTTGTGGATGAGTCACACAAGTTGAATCAACTTGTATACAAATTGTTCATTTCTAAAACCTCCATACTCAAGTGCAAGGCACAAATTTCCAAAACTAACCTCCATAATTTAAAGATTCGAATTGTTAACTTACTGGAAAAGTTTTGAAGACTATTCATTCAGAAGGATATTTTAGGAACACTTATTATGCACTGAATGGGAATTGACTGCTTTTAGATATGCAAAGTAACACAAGTTTAGAAACAAGAAGAGAATCAAATCACATGCTATCTTCATATTATAAAATTTTATCACTGTTCCATCTGTATGATTAGTTTTAGGATTTTATGAGACAACAAGATACTTTTAGTTTTTATATTTATTTTCTGATTATCTAGTTCTTTTCATTTCAATGTAATACGTAAATGCGCACTAAATGACTAAAATACCTAACCTCCATTGCATTTAGTTGGATTTGGCATACCTTAGTTTTCAAGGAAATCATCATTCCTCCCTGGACCAGTCTCCACTCTTCCCACCACTCTTGTGTTCAAGCCGTACATCTGTAATCTGGATATCCTTGGAAGCAGCCTTGCACATATCATATACTGTTAGGCCAGCAACAGACACTGCTGTCATTGCTTCCATTTCCACCCCAGTTTTCCCTGTAGAAGCAGCTTCCCCTTCTATTTCAACACTACAATCATTACGATTCAATGAAAGATCAACGCGAACATGAGTCAATTTGATGTTGTGGCATAGTGGGATAAGGTTGCTTGTCTGCTTTGCCCCGTTTATTCCTGCAATTTTCGCCACACTAAGGACATTACCCTTGGCCATTTGGTTGGCTGATACCAAGTCAAACACCTTCCTGCCCAGAATAACTTTGCAAGTAGCAACAGCAACTCTCTTGGTGTTTTCTTTGGGAGAGACATCTACCATTTGGGCTTCACCCTTGCTGCCAACGTGGGTCAAGCCATAGTCATTTTCCACTATTTTTGGAGATACAGACTGGGAATCTTGAGCAGCCATTACATTGTTGTCAATAGAATTGGGATGAGTACTGGAAGGAGGTTCACCAAACACAGATTCCATTTCCTGAAAACAAGATGAGTATATAGACCGTATGATGAGTGTGTGGTGCAGTGGCATCCATAGCATTCATGTTAAGAGAAAATGTTCAGGATTATGTGATTCTTCTTGACACAAGATTTACATTCCAAACATATTTCTTTCCCAGATCACCACAAATATTTGATTTTCAGTTAAAATTGAAGCTTTTGGTGGAGAAAATACATGCTAGAACATCCTGCCTTTTTCTTTATCTTCTTAAAATTAGTTTCATCTGTTTACGAGTAAAGGTCCTTTTCAACATCAGTCTCGGTTATGGTTACTCATGCCACTAAACTCTTCACAGCACATTAAGCAATGGAAACTGCACTAATGTAACATTAAAATGTTCCAGCACCCTCATTTCCATGATGCAGTGCTATGTGATATATTCCACAGAAGGGAGATGAACCCACCCTTGATAATTTAACTTCGTGCCATTTTAACAGCTAAAAACATGAATTAAGCATTAATAACCAAAATTCATGAAAATTGTTCAGATAGTTACACTTGATATCATTGTACTTATTTTGGCATTTGCTTATGAACTCCTAGATATCAATGAAATAACGTTGCGGTTAAACTGAAAAGATAACTGTATGATACTACCTTATTGAGCTCTGCAATGATGCTCGCAGGATCATTAGAACTGTTACTGCTGAAGAGCCTTCTTGATAGAGGTAGAAGTCGGCGAAGAAACATGATGGTCAGAGCTCGGGTCGTCTTTGAAAAGGATTTAGGTCTCTATAAAAATTCAAATAAATTAAAACAGGCAAAGATGGTAGATAGATGAAGTGAATCATATTGAAACCAATTCTCAGTCTCACATATTCACAAACAGGTAATGCTCATATGGGTTGAACAAAATCAGAAAGAGATCAGAAGCGGGATAACTCGTATATAAAGAATGATTGAAGAGAGAGAAATACAACCACGTTAATGTCTGGGAATTGCTCAGCCGCTTAGCTGAGGTTGTTGTCAGTGAAACGTCTTTCGCTCGCGCTTTGGGCTCGTTTTCTGCCAACAGAAAGACTAACAAGTACTGGTGGCATCTTCCGCTTCCAAATTTCCAATGTTTAAGACACGGGCACTTTTGTCAAATAAATCAATAAAATAAAATAAAATAAATATTTTTTTGTTTATTTGTGTATATTATCATGTGATCGCCAATTTGTAGCTTTTTTAAAATTAAAATATATATATAGTTATTGTTTTTAATTTCAAAAATTTATATTTTATTTTTAATGAACTCATAATATGTTTTAAAATTGCATTATTAATTTATAATTAGAGTAAAAAGAAAAGATAATTGCAAAGTTACAATTTGCCAAATCCAAGAAAAAATAAATAAATTATAGAACACTTGTGCGTTGTATTTCACACGTATTGTGTCAATACTTCTTTTACCAAGTCTAAATATTTCCCATGGCACCAAATATCAACTGAATATGTATTCATTCATTGTTTTTGGCTTGATTTGTTTTATCATTAGGATATTTTTGAGTATTACATTAGGATGTGTTGCATTAAGTTGGTAATTTGAAACAAATAATTATAAATTTGAGAATTTAGTAGATGGCAAATCCAATTTGAGTTTGTCTTTAATGTCAAGATATAATATTACGTAAAGTTGAAACAATGACATTTACCGATATTATTAACAAGATTGAATTTTATTTAATCCGTTCTTTTTTCAAAAACTCAATTGGGACTATTATTTTTAACTTATGTTAATTGAAGATACAATGATAAAAACTATCCTGTAAGTCAGAGTCTCTCAAAAAAAAAAATATTTATTTTAGAACAGAGATAGTAATTAATTTATTTTTAGAGAAAAAAGAGTCACGATTCTTCTTCCATTTTAAACCAAAAGGTGCTCTTTCTCTAAACATTTGAAACACTAATTGACAATTTCTTCAGCTCTTAGGAGGGTCACATCAACAATAAATATATCATTAAAACGAAGGAGTGAGTTAGAGGACACATGAAACTGTCAAAAAGTCTCTTATGTTCGTTCCACAATGGAGAAACTGATAATAATAATGCAGCTCTTTTATTTAGACCTAATTATAAAATAAAATAAAAATAAATAAATAAAAAAAAAAGCCAAAACAGAGATGAACAAGTAGCAAAATTTCAAACCATTTACACATATATACATTGATCTCAGAGAGTGATTAGTAACAACCAGAATCCGTCTATTCTAAGCAGTGGCTTGTCGGGAATCGCTCTCGTTACCACCACCATTGGAGGAGGAGGAGGAGGAGGAGGAGGAGGAGGAAGGGTGGCAATCGGTGCGGCAAGTGGGACAAGAAGAATGGGAAGATAACCATTCCTGGATGCATTGGATGTGGAAGCCATGCCTGCACCTGTTAAGAGCATGCATATAATACATATTTAGAGATTTTACAGTAGATTTAATTAACTTGATCTTTTTTCAATCTATTTATCTGCTGTAAGCAAGTACGGACTATGGACACTTAATATTGCTAATTTTGCAAAATAGAAATTAATTTTGGGAAAAGGAACATAACTAGTTGGGACAAAAAAAAAAAATTTTAAATGTATTAAATTAGAATATTGCAATCAATATCATTTTTTTTTAGTTTGCTTCCTCTAAAGTAAAATTTGGACGAAAAATATAGTAACTAGAGCCTACAAAATGGTGATTGATTGATATTACCTTCCCAACACATGAATTCCTTCTCCCTCAGTGAACTCAGACAAACAGATGGCGCACTCTGCCACTGCACCTCCCAGCTTCATCCCTGCGGAAAACACCACCGTAGGAGGCGCTGTGGTGGTGCAAGGAGTAGGATTTGGCTTTGGCTGGGGTTCGGCTTCTGCAGCTTCATGGGTGGTTTCAGAACGGGGAAGATGGCGGCGATGACGGAGGAAGTGGATGGCAGCGTTGAGAGCGAGGGCAAAGATGACACCGGAGAAGAGGACGATGAGGATGACGGTGGCATTTAATTCAAAATCGTTGGAATTGGAGTAAGGCCACCAAGGACAGGCATGAACGTCGCATTTTGGTGGCGGTGTTGGTGGTTTTGGGCTTGTAGTTGTGGAGGATACTGGTGACGATGCAACGTAGACAAGGGACTTGGATGGTCGCATTTTAATTTGGATGGGCATATATAAATATAAACTACCATATATATATATATAATAGACTAGGTATGAACATAAATTGATTCTTGTAGAAAGATGCTCAGACAGAATAAATCAGGGGGGAATTTTTTTGATAGCGAAGAATGAGAATGGTGTGATTTTATATATACAAAATTAATTGGTGCGAAGTGGGCCCGCTATTAGGCTCCGGCACGCGGATTTGTGCCCAAAATCTGCGAGTTCCATTTGCAATTTGACGGATTTGTTTTCAGTTGCTTTTACAAAATGGACCAAAGAAAGAACACATTTTAATTTACTTATACTCCACGTGTCTCAGCTGTTCGAAAAAAAATAGCCCTAAGAACATGAAGGAAAAAAACAAAAACAAAAACAAAAAAAAAAACTCAATGAATTAATTTTTAAAAGAAAACCCCTAATGCAAAATTGTGAAGCTTTTATGTTGAGAAAACTCTATTGTATTGAAATTTCTACCCTCTCCCATAACGATATATATATATATACATATATGTGTGTGTGTGTGTGTGTTTGTGAATACGTACAAACACACATAAAGTGGGACAGATGGTGCTAAAGAGGTTACATCAAACTTGATTGCTACACACCAACGCATAATCATATATTTTCTCTCCAAACTACTGTAAAGGGTGAGAAAGAAAGATAAGGTTGTCTCCGGTGTTCACATCCTCTCTCTCCAACTAAATAAAAAGTTGGGGAAGATAAGCTTTGGGGGTTTCAGCTTCTTCCTAGTTGGAAATCGCTATTGGCCCTATGCCCCAGCTCATCATATCAACAATTATTACTCTATATTAGGTCACGCCACTAACCTTTTTCTAACAAAAAGTTACACTAGAGTCACACCATCATCATATTTGTAGATAATAGCTCACATTGCATTGCTTAGAAATCCCAGCATAGTTAAATACAGAGTAATTAATAAGATTTTAGACACTGATTTTATTTTTAAAAATACAAGTTTCTTTTAAAATAAATAGTAAGGATAGTTATTGGAGTGGAAACTTAGAAGCTTTAATTTTTTCGGACAAGGATCCTCTAAATTAAAAGCCCTTTATATTATCATAAGTTGAATCACTTACACACTCACACATAGCATTTTAAGTAAATTTATGGCTAGTATTATACCACACCAACTCATTTAATAAAACTTCAAATAGTATGTCGTTTTAGGGCTTCTGGAAGAAACGCAGTGAAAACTCTTTATTGAATTATCTGTTGAATCATATAGCACATTCATATAGTGACATTCTATGTACTCTACTGGGTTTGATGAAAAAAAAAATCATGGAAGATTACAACTAAGAATATCAAAACAATTAAAAACATTAAATCTAATGAATCAGATTACAAGAAAGAAAGGAAGAGAATATTTGAAGTATTACAGCAGATGATGATGAAAATTGAAAATAAATATCATGGGTTGATGTTGTCCTTCGACTCAATCCTGAGCATTATGGTTTTCCCTGTTAGGATTTTCACGAATATCTGCATTTTCTTTTGATGGTTCTATAAATTAAACACTTTTTACTTACAATGTTTCTGCCTGTAGCCCTAAAACGATACAGTATTTTAAGTCTTATTAAATTGACTGATGTGGTGTAATTTTAGTCGTAAATTTACTTAAAATGCCATAGGTCAGTGTAAGTGATTCAACTTATGATAATATAGAGAGTTTTTAACTTAGAGGATCCTTATCCTTTATTTTCATGTCATCCATATACTATTCTTTTCTCTCCCAGAAAAGAGAACAAATATATACCCAGAAAAAAAAAAATGAAGGTAATGTTTATATATATAAACATTTTTTTTTTGGGTATATAATAAAAAGTTTAATTAATTCTTTTTGAGTCCACCCCCAGGACCGGACCGTTCCCTTCATTTTCATCTCTTCCAATTTCCTCTCTGTTTATATATTCTTCAAAAGTATTCATGTGAAAATCTCAGGCTCTTCAGCTCTACGTCCCACAATTTCTTTTCATAATCATAAGATCCGCTCAGCTTCAAGCCCACAAGCCCAAATATCTCACGTATCATGCACATGAACTACTCCCTGTCTTCGTGTGGGCCTGAAAAATATTTTAGTTTCTTTAAGGCTCTAAGGTCTCCAGTTTGAGTCTAGGCACAATAAACCTCAACCGTGGTTTTGGAATTGGGCTGATTGACACGATGCTCTGTAACTGGGCTCAAGTGGCTTTGTTTATGGTTTTTTGTTTTTTTTTGTTTTTTTGTTTAAAAGGGTAAGCTTTTGTTTATGGTTGTTGCTCTCTCTATGAATCTACACATTTTTTTTTTACCTTACAATAAACCTCAACCTGGACTAGTCATTTAAACTTGATATGATGAATGGGGCTTCCTTTTTAATTTTCCCGGCCCGCGTGTACGTGGAGCGAACAATTATATATATTGAATGGTGGATTATGGAGTGTTCTAAAAGACTAACATTATTAACCCAAAAGTAAAATAGAATGGAACTATAAGAGATGCTGTTTTTCAGCTTATATAATGTTGTCATAATTTTCCTTAAAAAATAACATCATCACAAAATTCCGGAAAACTCAAATTAATCAGAACTAAATTAAATTAGATATTTATGAGGTCCACTCTTGTAGCACGATTGATTAAGGGGACCATGTTGACTTGTTTTCAGTGATTATATATATATATATATATATATATATATATATATATAGTTGAGAAACGTATGGTAGGTGACTCAGACAATGGAGACTAGACGGTTCTAACAAGCCAAGTCCTCTGACCCCATTGTTAGCGTTCTGGAATGATGTGATACAATGGAAATATTCAAAATCACAAGTATATGTGAAGAAAGTTGACTTTGATTTTGTTATACTTTAGTGTTATTTTTCTTTGTTTTTCACATTTTCTTGGGCACGTGGACTTGATATTTGCTCGAGCAACACTTCGCAACTAGTTATGTTGATTTAAGACCCACATGGGTCCAATGTTTGTCACAAATTCCATAGTCAACCAACACTGCACTGTTGTTACAACCCCATTCAACAAATTCGAATCCAAATTCCAGAAATCTGGTCAACAAATTTATTTTATTCAGAAATTCACTAATTTATAAACACAATGACTATATGGAGTAATTAGATATAGCAGGGCAGATTGATACGCTGATTTAGCCAATATTTTATAAAAAATTATACATGTATTCAAATGCATCCAACTAAGTGGAAAAAAATTTAAAAAGAAAAAGTACGCTAAGACACTTGAGATTGACTATAAAACATGAATTGTGATATAAGTTAGAAACTTCACTCGCATCGCGATTGATGTTTTATATTAAACCTATGTGCCTTAACTCTTCCTTCTTGGGTTTTCCTTGTATTGACATTTGGTTTAGGACACTAAATTTTGGTCACGTGACAAACGATATCAGAAGCTTCTGGTTAAATCTTCAACAGTGTGGCATTTTTCTTCTCTTATGCCGCCTCCTATTCTAAGAATTGAAATGTGAATGTTAATTTGTTGTGGTCACTGTCAGGAATTGTATTGTGCTCACCAAACCCCATTTTTTAACACAGGATGCACCAATAATGGTATTGACAGATTTGACACACAAACAAACACACATGTATATATATAAACACACAATAAACATGATACCGTTCCAGTAAGCAACCAATGACCTGTAAGGATCATGCAAAGGGCAGGCAGGTGCTATATATATATATATATATATATATATATATTCTAGATGATGGGTCCAAAAAATCACATTAAAGTATTGAATTTGACTACCACATGATCTGCTCTGGCTGTTGTGGACTAACAAATGCACTCAAGGCACATGTCACACATTTTACTTGTCTTGGTCCTTCCATAGAAGGAAAGAAGAATATGTCAAAGTAAATTTAGAAAATGAGTGAAGTGATTGAGAAGTCTGGTATGGGCACAAAAGCTAAAGCTAAAGCATTTAGACTTCTGGTCTCTATTTAGGTCACATGTTTCACTATTTTAACCACACCCTTTTTTTTTTCCAAGTGTATCAAACCAAAGATATGGTACATCCCCCAATATGCATCTAATCTCTGCATGTGAATTCATCTTCTTCTTTTGTTCATTATTTATTAGTTTGATATATATATATATATATCACTGTATCTGTATCGTGTCTATTGTTGATAAGTGTTTGTCCACCTATTTCTCACCAACATTGCATGTTCCTATGAAAGAGTAATTGCTCATTCTTCTTTTGGTTTGCATTCAAAGTAGTCATTTTTGAGCTGTTAAAAAGGCTAAACATGTGGATGCATTCTTATTGAGTGAGAAAGAGGGCATGATGGGCACCAGTGAGCCACTGCAAATGGAAGTCACAACCTCCTTAGGGGGGCGCAACGATTGATACCATACCATATGTTACGAGGGTCATTTGTTCCACATCAGATCTGGATAAAAAAGTAATTTGATATAAATGGGTGAGTATGTAGTACTATCTAATAGCTTGAGCTTTTGAGTAAATGGACAAGCGCACACCTGTTATACCATACCATTGCATTTTCGTTGATTGGCCTACCACTCCACTCTACTCACATTAATTTAATTGTCTCTTCAATATTCTGATTTAATGGTTCTACAAGTTGCCGGTCCTATTCAAAGACTTTTATCCAACGCTTAGATTAAGCTTCCACGACTCTCAATCGGAAATCATTTCAAGTTTCTTTCATTTCTCGAAAATTTGAAGAAAGTTTGTTACAGTCGATTCAACATCAAATATTGAAACATTTGCACCGAAGATTTAGGAAATCAAATCAAAGGACATTCTTTCTTTGTAAAGAATATTACATAGAATTATACCCACTTATCAAATATTAATAAAATTAATTATTTGTTTCACTATTTCTATTCTGATTAAGAAATTTGTGTGTACAAAGGGTCCTAATGTTTTCTTTATTCCTCTACAAATATCCTCCAGCAAATGTAGCCTAATCATTTTTATTCTTTTCCTTCCATCTTCTTTTCTCCCACTGTTAGAGATACCTCAATTCCCCTTTCAAGGACAAAAGGATTACCAGAGGATGGCCTTGAATTTCACTAAAATATATTTTCCCTTCACCCTTTTCACTTGTTTAGAAGCAACCTCTGTTTGGTTGCTAAGAAAACAGGGGAAAGAAAAAGAATCTGAACTTAACCATACAAGACATAACCTTCAACTTAAAAGAGTTTGATGAAACTTAGATAGGAATGACCTCTATCGCATTATTAGGGAACCGGCTAAATTAAATCACAAAGCAACCTGTTAGGCCTACTAGCATATGAAAAACACCATAAACCTATTAGATTAGTAAACTGATAGTCAGAAATGGTTGGCTGCCATTGGTTTAAGTGAAAATAATTAAGGCAACTTCGTGTCGTTTATCAAACAATCAGCTACTAGACTTGATGTATGACATTCTAGAATTGGTCATAGCTTAGGATAGAAATATAAGAATGCATTTGAAACATCAGAAACTCGTGTTTTTTTATTCTTGGTGCCATACATTCCACATGTTTTGAAATGCATAATCATCGCATTCCATGGCATTGACAAATCTGTTTCCTACAAATTTTGCAACTACATGTATTCCATCAGTGTCATGCACAAGGAAAGTAAATATACACACACTGTCATACTGCGCATCAAAGTCACGGAAATAGAAACAACTTTCCAGAAAAGCAAATTGATTCTGGCCAAAAACCCTTTCCTCATCCTTCAACCAAGAAGCAAATAACCAACTTTCCTAGTGAAGTTCAATGAGCAAAAACAGCCCCAAAAACATATATATATATATATATATTTGAAATCCACCTACTTTTCTGTAGAAATTTCAATTATGCTCTACAAAACATTTGAGTATGAGATGATTAATTAATACTGCAAACTTTGATATGAAAAAGAGGATGATACAGTCCTACCATTGGAACTCCAATTAATCCAACAAAACATATATGTACAATTTACTAATTCAAAAATATATATATATTGCATAAAAGCTCATATTGATGATCAATAGATTCAATAGTCACAAATTCAAGTGTGAGGGCAGCCACTTGAACAAAATAAAGCAAAAGGGCACAAGTTAAAGGCCACACGCGGCACAACTTAATCAAAAACCATGTCAGTGATGCAAAAAAGTTTAGAGAAAAGCGGAGGAGATAAGGTATATAAGATTAGAGAAACAATTCCACAAGCATAAAAAAACAAAAGAAGTTTATCAACTCCTAGAAAAGTAAGTAGCAATGACAGAGTTGGTTAAACTTACAAACTCAATTCATCTTGCAAGAATAGCTCCTTATGACAGCATACGTATACTAGAAACACACACACAAATTTGCTGGCCTACTTGGTCATTAGGTATTAATTTTTCTACTTCTAACCTACATTACCGTATACCAAAACCTTTGCATAAGCTATTGAATGGTTTCTTCACTACATATATGATTAAAAACTATGTTAATACAATTTTCTTGTTACCCAAATCACCTAAAAGAGTTGGATTCGCGGGAAAATGCTGCAATCAATTTTTCCTTTGTCAGCTGCTCAGATCCTTGAGACTTGATCACAAATGTATGATACACTGTGTCATTCCCTGCGGCAAGATTTGACTCAACAACAGTGATCTGCTCCTCTTTGAATGCTTCAATGACTCTTGATACGGGGTGGGTATCCAAAGGGCAGCTCACCCTCACAATAACTTCATCACGGACAGATTGGATTTCGATGTTTGGAACTTGGTTTTGATTTTCCAAATTTGGCTTAGCCTCCAAAATCGATGGATCTCTTGAAGTGCTCCCGAATTTATCCTTCTCTGATTCCATGTCTCTGAGCTTCTTCTGAAGCTCAGTGATGTAAGCAATGGCATCTCCCAACAAGGAGGCTTTGTCCATCTTTGAGATGTTGGGCACAACAGCTCGTAACGCGTAGAACCGCTGGTTCAGCTTCTCCCGTCGCTGCCTTTCCGCCTCTACATGATTGAGGGGCTCTTCTCTTCCATTAGCAGGTTTGCGGCCCCGTTTCCGTGGCCTCTTTTCATCAGCTGGGGCTGCCCGCTCTTCCTTGCATGAAACCTCAGCATCTGAATGCTCGGACTCAACACTAACTGGCCGGGAAATAACAGAAGGCCTTGAAGTGGCCCCTTCAAAATCAATTTGCATTAGCACCTGCTTTTGAGGCTGGTACTGGTTAAGCCGAAATTCATCCCTAACACCATTAACAAGCTCTTGAAGATTATTTGTTGGAGTCTGATTGAAACTTTCAACAGTCATCCCCTGCTTTGGACTATGGAATTGTGTCCAGTTTGAACCATGAAACCCATTTTGAGTATTTGGAGCTTGAAACCTATTCCCATTTGAGCACACTTCCCACGGCCTCTCCACCGCCTTCCTAACAGCGAGTTTTTCCCTAAATTGAGAACGACTCGAGTTCAAATCCTGCCCAAAAATCTTTGGAATTCCATCCTTTCTCTCCCCAATACCCAGATTAGAGAAATGGGCATTTCCATCTTTCTTGTCACTGGTGTGCTGTACAGTCATCATCGGCTTGGCCCTGATGAGTGAGCCAAGGGACGAGAAGGATGATTTTATTGACTGCAACACCTCCAAGCTTTCTGGTATGGATCTAACTGATCCCAATTCTACCACTCCTACATCAGTTGGGATCAAAACAATTGTCTGAATAGCAGCAGACCTCGCTAGGACTGATCGGACACAGTAATCAGATGGTGCCCTCAATGCATCCGAGAGCCATATGTGCTTCCCTGATGCGAAACACCTCCCCGGGCCGCCTTGACCTGGAGGGAATGAAAAGTACATGGATGCTAGGTAGAACATCTCAGTATCCGTAACCCTATCTAGTCCAAAAGCATAACTATCCTCATCTGAACCCCCAAACAGTGTGTGCAATTTCTGAAGTACCCTTTTCCTCATCCTCTGTTGGGTGTCATCCGCCAGCGGAATATTCAGAATTCGGTAAACTTCCGATTCCTCCTCCCCTTCCTTTGGCTCCCTACAAGACCCATCTCCCCATCCTAAAACCAGGTCGCCGGACTTGGACCGCGAAATTTGCCAGAAAATGGCATAATTCCAACTAAAATTGTCCGCGTTTGGGCCGTCCACGAGATCTGAGAGCTTATTCTGCAAATTCTCATCACCACCAACTGCCATTAAAGAGCATTCGGCAGAAACTGAGCTTGACATGAGATAATCAAAAGCTCGAGTGCCCAAAACCAGAGCAAGCAAGGCCCTTTCCTCGTTATTCCACGCCAAACCCCCCATACCTACCTCTATTTTCATCTCAACACCACCCACAAACTAAATAAGACTTGAAATTTACAATACCCAGTTGAAATCTATCTATACCAAAAACAATAAAAATAAATAAATAAATAAAATAAGTTCTTCCCCACAAATTCAAATCCACTTACTTCATTCAACAGATGAACAACAAATACATCAATAAGAAACCCATCTTAGTTCTTACCCTCCAATACATCTTTTTCAAGTCGCCCCAATTGGTTATATTTCTAGTTTCGGATCTCACAGGCTCTAAATCTAAGTTACCCACCAATTAGAGAAAGCCCAGAAATATATAACCCTCAATCTATGCATAAATATAGAAAGAATAAAACACACACACACAAAATTGAAAGAAGGTACACACCAGTATTTCTGTTGGGAAGCAAGATAACAACTTCTTGTGCTGGAAAATATACCAAGAATGTGACAGTCCCCGGAAAACAAACAGTCAGACAGTAATTTGAGAACCAAAAATGCAAACTTCTCTCTTCTTCCAGTAACGTGAAGTTGAGAGAGGGAGAAAGAGAGAGAGGTGGGGGCGTTAGTTCTGCTCTCTAAATCCTAACTGCATGTGCAGACGGTGGATGATAAGAAAAGTAACCATGGTTAAGCAAGAGCTTCAGGGTTGGAGGTTGAGGGGTAGTCGGCAACGTTTTTGTTGGGTTTGTTTCCTTAATAAAGCTTTTACACACACATTACACGCATATATATGTGTGACGTTATATAAAACTTAAATAGAGGGAATTATTTTCACATGGCTGCTGCATCCAGGGTTCCTTATTTGTGTGAAATTTAAATGTACAATTATAAGTTTATATAATTGCCTATGATTATTAGTATATTGTTGTTATTAGAGAATGAGTCTTAACAACATATCTAACCTTATTTTAGACCCTACATGACCGGAGTTTAGTGTATTTAGTTTGTTCTTTTTATTAATATATTATTTATTATTAACTGTTTTAATTAATGCGTGAAATATTATATACTTGCTATTTATTATTGTTTGTTTTAATACAATGTCGACTATTAAGGACTTCAAAAGTTGTAAGCTCTTTTGGTCAGAATTTCGTGGAGAGATTCAAGAATGATGGTCAAAGGATTACATTTTTGTAATATCATATATTCAAAAAATTTATTCTATTATTAGGAGTTGACTACGACCAATCCAACCAAGAGTTTATATACACGAGGAAATAACGATGAAAAATAAGTCAAATATTTGTTTTTCTCTTAATATGTTATTGAATTCTTTGAAACCTTTTCTTGATATTCTTTTGCATATTTTACGTCCTCCCAATTTTACTTTCATATTTTATTCCCTCTTCTAGGTATTTCGCTAATACTCTAGTCTATAGATTAAAGGTACAAATTATCAACTCAGACAATTCGTTTGTTAGAATCAATAGGTCCTCGAATTGCTCATTTGAAAAATAAAAATAAAAATTCATTCTTATTAGATAATTATGATACTTTTCGAAAATTAAAATTCTTGATCAATAAAAAAAAAAGAATATTATGCTAAAGTGTTCAACATTGATCATCAAGAACATAATTTGATAATGAGACTCCAATCTAAAAATTGTTAGGAATACTCGTAAATCAAAACATCTTTAGGGTTGTTTGGAACGTGTTATGATATTATTTTTTTTATATTAATTTTTAAATTTGAGTCATATTATGTTTGGGACGATTGATATTGGTTTGAAATAGTTCATAACATATCAGATTTTTTAGCCCAAACTCATATTACTAAATTACTAATATTGTGTATTTTAGTATTGTAACAAAAAAAATTAAAGTAAAATTTTAAAATAAATTTTTATTACTAATTCAATTTTTATCTAAAATACTCTTACAACAAAACGATTATTTTGATATTTACCAAAAACATATTGTATGCCAAAGTTGCCAAACAGTCATCTGGAAACTTTTTTCTAATTTATTGCACTTTCGTTTTTACTTTACTACTATTCCATTTGTATCTTTTCCTTTTATTTTTTATTTTTATTTTTTTTTGTTTGTATTTGTGTGTTCTTTGTATTACAGTATTACTACTATTAAGTGCATCAATATTGTGTACCAGAAAAATGAAATGATGTTGACCAGTGGGGCCCAAAGTAAAAGAAATTAAGGTTAATGGAAAGCGAAGTGATCGAGCGATCTTAACCCTTGGATTACATAATATTCTTTGGACACGTTGTTGATATTAAAAGTTGAACAAAAAGAAATCCTAGGAAACCAACAACAGATTTATTGTGTCTGAGAGGGGATTAGAATTTGATGCAGGTTAAGCAACAATTAGAGATGGTATTATAAATATAATGTAAAACACCATGGCCCTCAATTGAGTAGAATCTAAGGCAAATAAAGGCTTTAATTGAAAATGATTCCAAAACCATTGTCTTTTTAATTGTGGGCTCACTTCAACTTGCACACTCCATTATTATTGCATGTAAATGAGACTAATTCTTATGATAAATAAATATATTACCGTCTGTACGGACTTGGCAGATTTAAAGATTTTATATAACTTTTCTATTTAGTGGTTAATAAAGAAAAATCTCTTGAAAAGACTGACTAAGCACGTTTAAAATTATTGTTCAAAATATTATTTTGAAATTTATATGATACAAAAAAATTAATAAAAATACACACACTTTAAATAGTAAAAATTTTAAATAAAATTTGCGAGTAGAATTTTATATTTTAAGTCGCTATTTTTTTTTTTAAAGACAATAAAAATATCACAAAAGCCTCGACATGATTTTCTAAACAATAATTGTATGATAAACTTTTGAGAAAGTGTTTAATTTACCGTGTGTGCGTGTGTGTATATATATATATATATGTATGTATGTATGTTTTATTGTCATTTTTATCTGTTTGGTGAACCACTTGTTCACACTTGCCAATATACAAAGAAGTAAAGAGAAACAAAGAGGTTTGCACGTGCCAATAATCACGTGAATAGTGAATACTGGAAGGAAACCAGCTCGTCGATCACGCGTTTTGGGCGGTCCTCTCAGTCCCTCCCTGTACGCACATACACACACGTATCAAACAGTAGGCCACGTGGCGCACCTTTGTACACTACCTCCTCATACGTGTCATCTAAAAGCTATTATTGATTTCGACGAAGAAACCGATAAACTCATGAAAAAAGTAGTAATAAAAAACAGAGTCACACACCTCGTGAAGAGCACGTGACTTTAGCGTGTGGCGGGGGAGGCCACATCCTGCCTGCGTGTGTACTGTGTATCATCAGTATATTTAAGGAGAACGTGATATGCAGCTAATATACACTTCCGTTATTCCTTCTATATGTATGTATGTATGTATATATGTATTATATATTTTTACTTTTTGCAACTCCATTTAATATAACGTGTTCGGCATGTGTCCATATCTGGTAATATTACCACGTCGTTTCACACGTAACTTGTTTTCTCGTTGGGCCACAGAACATTTTGCGTGGTGTCATGTCTTTTCTTGATCTCAAGTCAGGCGTTGTTTCTGCTTTAATGTGCAGCCGATATAGTACTCTTTCCAACTCAAAATATTTGTTCCATCTTCGTATTTTAAAATATTTCAAAAAATATATCTTATTTTAAAATTAAATGTATTATATTTTGTAACATTTTCAAATTATCATTTTAACTAAACAAATGTACTAATTATAACGTACTATTTTATCTTTTACTAAAAACATATTTGAAACTTTATTTTTATTAATACAATAAAAAACTATTAAAACTTCATTAGCATAAAAAATTAGATTTCACAGTACATGTATTTTGAGACAAAGAAAGTAATATGGTTCAGTTTAATTTTTTATTAGATTGGAGGATGGAAAAATAGATAGAAGAGAAATTAGAAGGATAAATGAGGAATTTCAATGAAAGTGAAGATGTTGCTCTATTTTTAGTTTGATTGAATTGAATTGATAGTATAAAGGATAAGATGGGATAATTTTATTTTATTATTATTATTATTTTTTTTTGGAATGAAGGAAAATATAATTTTTATATTATTATACTAAATATAAAATAATAAAAGGTAAATATTCATTTATTTTTTTTAAAAAAAAAATGTTAAAATTATAAATTGTATATTGTAATTATTTATTCACTTTCTCTCTCTTCCCTTCCCCCCAAAATTAAAGGATAGTAGAAAGATTGTTTCATCCTCCTTTCTTCTTTCCTCTCCTCTCTTCCCTCCAATCAAACACAAACCATCCATTCCTCCTCAATCTCATTAATATGTTGAGCTATGGATGAAATATTAAAAAAAAAAATTAATAAATGACCAAGTTATTTTTGCTATATTATAAATAAGACGTATTCAAATAGTATGTGGATGAAAAAGTTAGTAAATAAAATTAATTATTCTAAAATGTCCCTCTTTATATTTATCTCAACGATCCATAAAGAATACCCAACTAAGAGCATCCAATAGATGTGTATATAATCTTTCGAAAAACATAAAATTTTAATTATGAAAGAAGCAAATGTGTATGTGTTTGTCAAATATGAAATTATTGGCATAAAGTTTTCGTATTTGTAATATATTATGTTAAAGTGGCTATTTTTGTAATATGACAAATATAAGTTGTTGTTTATTAAATAATTTTAAAATATAAATGTTGAGTTATCAAATTTAGAAGAAGTCGAACAAAAAATATGTAAGTGAAGGTATAAATTATAATCGTAATATAACGTTATGTAGTTGGGTTCACACTCTATTCACACAACACTAAATGAACATTTTTTAATTCGAGAGAACATATCATTATTTACAAAGGTTATGTCCATGAAACTTAGAAATTCTGAATTTGTTTAAAGTTAGGTGTATAATCACGTATAATTATTTTGCTATTATTATCTTCTTCTTTTCTCTTAATTAAAGAAAATAACTGAATAACAAGGCAAAGCAAAATGAGACCGAGTCTGAACCAAAATGATAATTGTGGCATTTACTAGGGGTATTTTGGTAAGATTATTTTTGGGCTTTTGTACAGCTGATGTTGGGCTCATTGAAATTATCGATTTTTAAAAACTTGAAAAAAACTACCCACACCGTTCACGTGCTTGTTAGACTGGGAGTTGGACTTGAGAGCACACCTAATGGGGCCCACAACAAAGTAGTCCTATGGCGTGATAAAACTCACCGACTTGTTTCAGAAGCCAGTACTATGGATCCCTTTATTAATTCACGACAAGCCCATAGACAAGCACGTGACGTCGTGAACCATCTTTTTCTTAGTTAAAATATCTTTAATTCTATTATTATTATTATTATTATTATTATTATTATTATTTTCATTCAGATTTTTGGCTCTGTTCACGTTTATGCATGTGACTTCTTGTTATGTGACACAAATATATATATATATATTTGTTTTGTTTTAGAGAGTATGATTAATTGATCGAAAATGGGTGTTCTTTTTAAGTAGAAATGGGAGCATTTAGGTTGTAGTTATCGGTGGATGATGACTTCGAACTCATCACGTACGGATGCGTCTGTTTGTTCTCAATCCCTTCCCAACAACTAAAATCGATATTCCAGAGACAAAGAATTGACACCATTAATGAAATATATATATTCAATGTAGCAATTAAGTTGGGTGGGTATCAGTTGTCACGTACAGGTTTTGACCTTAATGTTTGTACACATCCTATTATATATAATTATTAGAATGTGGCTTACGGCTCAGGTGTCGGTCGAGTCAAACCGATTGATGTGAGTGTCAGTGTTCGATCCATCCATGTTACTAATTACTAATTCTTCTCTTTCCCCCTCTAATTACTAACCCCACTAACTATTGTCAGGTAAAAAAAATTATTAAGCTCCGTAATTAAACATGAATGCAAATTATTTAATTGGAGATATAAGTTCATTTTTTTTTTGAAATTTTAAGCAACTGATATTAATAAAATGGATAATTACAAAAAGGGCCATTGGGCCAAAACAACCCAAGGAAAGGGAAAGCAAGCCCAAACAGAGGCCCAAATATATCTGTTTAAATTAAAAAGTTTTGTCCACACTGATTCTTGTTCTCACGACCAAGCTAAGCTAGCTAGGCATTTTATCAGTTTGTTTTGGAATTAATTTCTGGAGGACAAAAAAAAGAAAAAGAAAAGGAAAAGACAATATATATTGGAATTAAGAAACACTTCTCCTCTCTTATCACTTATTTGGTTAAACATGAAATTAAATAGAAAAAAATATTAATACAAGAGAAACTAAAGAAAATATTTAGTTTTGAACCTTTTTAGAATAACTGAACCACTATTTACACGCAATTTTCTTTTTTATTACTATTCCGGATATTTTTTAGAATATGGCAAAAACGCGTTTCCTTTTAATTTTTCTTTCCTTTTTTCCTTTTTCTTTTAATTTTTCCTTCCTTTTTACTTTACTTTTCCTTTTAAGTACTAAATCCGTGAACCACATAAATAAAGTCTAAAATGTTCAACTACCTAAAAAGGGCTTATTAGACTCTTTAATTGTTATTGTTATTGTTCTTATCCTAGTAGTAATATTAAATCATGCAGAAATGTGTAAGCCCATGGGCCAGCCCATGCCCTCTTTGGACCCACACATTTTCCTTTTCTATTTAAGCCTAAAAAGTGGCCCCTCTGGTCACTAATTTCTCATGTTCTTATCGAATTAACATTCATCCAAGGCTTGCTTTTATTTCTTTACATTGGAAATCAAGTTTAACGGCAAATTTACATTTATGTTGCGTTTGAGAGTATCAATTCATGTTTTAAATTTAAAATTGAAACAAATTTAATTAAAATTTTAACTAATAAATATATATATTTTTTAATTTAAAATCAACCGTTAATTCGATACTCCAAAACATAACATGAATAAAATATTTGACGATAATAAATATTATCTTATTGACACATTAATTGCCATTTTTTTTAGATGATACTCACACACCCATGGTTCGAATTCTTGACTTTTTTTTTTTTTAAGTAAGAGTCTAATATCATTGGACCATTTGCGAATAGTATATTAATCGCCATCTTGTAAATGTCTCAATCACGGACAATAAAAGTATCTCTACCTAATCTTTCATCAAAGTGATTGAGATGCGTCCATAAATGAGTTGCAAAGAAATATGTGAAGATAACTTAAATTAATTCATGGTATCAGTAAAAGCAGTTTGGGGTAATCAAGTAATAAAAATATAATAGAGGAAAAATTATAAAGAAATCTTAGAAAGTTTGTTTATTAATAAGAGTTGATACTCCTATAAAAAAATAATAATAATAAAAAATAAAAATTTATTGACTTATTTGAATATATCGGTTGTTGTTAAAGTTGAAATATATATATATATATATTTTGAGTAATGATACTTGCTTTGTGATTGGTTATTTATGCATAATACATGTAATTCTTTATTTATGTGATTTGTTATGATAAATTGTCAGACCTATTTCTTTTAAGGGTAATGATGCTTGCACCGATTTGTTGCACCGAATATGTCTGATTGGTTATTTATATATAGTACATGTAATTAGAGGGCCTGATTGGTTATTTATGTATAGTACATGTAATTGGAGGGCCCCACTTCTTTATTTATGCAATTTGTTGTAATAAATTGTCAGACCTATTTCTTTTAATCGATTTATTTATGCATAAATAACCAATCGGGCCCTCTAATTACATATTACTATGCATAAATAACCAATCAGAAATATTCGGTATAACAAATTGATGCAATAAATCGGTACAAGTATCATTTACTCATATGAATTATCTCTTATATTTTTTATATTTTCAAAGTTTTCTTTACTACAAATTGTCTCTTATTTGGAAAAATGAAAGTAGTATGTAAAAATCAGATACTTTATCTAAATCATTTTCCATGTATATACTTCTAACCAATATGCCTAAATCACACACACTAAACACATGCAAAATATCCATACGCATATTTATAGATTTATATGCATACATCTACAGTCACTCGAAGACATATTTTCACATATATATTTACACATTTGTATAGTAACACACACATACACACAATAATTTATTTTCGTTTATATAATACATGTTTAGATCCACATTAGGTGGGCCGAGTTGTGGACAACTTCACAGTACTTAAGCTTGGAAAAAAAATTTGGGCTGAAAGATAAAATAGGTGTGTTTCAAGTTGCCTCATGTCCAATAAAAAGCAAGCTCTTGGGCTTAAAACCAGTAGGAGCCATTTCCTCATCAGTTCACTACCTTTCTATATCCACTATCTCTATCACACAGAATTAAGAATAAGAATAATAATAATAATAATAATGCTATCTCTGGTTTTTTCACCACCATCATCATCATCTTCGTATCCTAACTTCAATTTTCGTAATGATTCGTTGGTCTCTCTCTCATCTCTGTTCTCGGACCGTCTTCTACCTCAAAGTCGAAGGTATGGTGTTTTAGCTTTTCCCAAAACTTTCTACTCTATTAGGAAATTATATTTTTAATTTTTTTTTCTTCTTGTTTTCTTACCAGTATTCTTTTCCCTTGTTATTATGCTTTCTATATAATGGAAAATTCCCTTCCAGGAAAACCCAGGTTGTTCTACTTCTATTTTTTTTTTTTTAAGTGGTGATTCATATTTTTAATTTATATTCTTTCATGTTCTGAATTACAAAGCCGAGCTTATAAAAGTACTCAATTCTTCTAGTTTTTGGTTTGATAAAAAGGAATATATAGATGGAAGGAATTCTGATGAATTTGCAAAGCTTTTATTTTTATTTTATCATACCTATGAATTAATGTCATTATATTCTTATAAGAACCATTTAATCTATGGTCTGCGACGGTGCAGTTGCTTAATATGGAAATTGGTTCAATTGAAATTGCATTACATTATCTATGTTTCTTCTACCTGTCAGTGCATTTTGGTGTTTCATGGAAATTGGGTGGTTTTGATTTTGTGTGATATATCGTTAAAAAGTCTGTCATGCTGAATTAGGAAGTCATTGATAACACTGGTTATCTCATTTATGAGATTTTAAGAGTTGAAAGTATTAGCACTTCAAGGAGAACTGAAATAACTAATGGATATTAGCTCCGATGGTATGATCTCTCCTCCCCCAACGGAGGATGAGTGTTTGAGCCCTGCAAGGGGCAACATTTTGTGTGTGTGTGCTTTTGCTTGAACTCTTGGAAAAGAATTAAAAAAAAAAAGAACTGAAATAGACCGCATGCCAGTTAGTGATGGTTGTGGCCCCATTTTCCCATCCAACCCCATTTTGATTAATAAAATTTTTCTTCCAAAGCTATAAAAATGGTTTCTCGGAATGTCTTGGTGCATTCTCTAGTGTATCTTGTTTCAAAGCTTTTGAAAAGATGCAAAGATGTCAAGATGGAAGTTAAAAGTAGCGAGAGAAATTAAATGTGGAGCTTATGGTGATCTGTATTCTGAAGTAGGTACAAAATTGGAAGAATAATATATATAAACTTGGTATACTAAGGAAGGGGAAAACTAGAGATTGTAAGTTTGTAACCATATTAAATGTATCTAGAGTGAAGATTTATGGGTTTTAATAAATATGACGAAATTAAAAAATATGAAAAAACTACATTGAGAAATTGTTAATGGAAATCATCTAAGAAATCCAAGCTCAGAAGAATATGTAATCTTATGGAGAACATGTTTGACATAGGATTAGGGAGGGAAAATGAAATCAAGAAGGGTTTTAGGATCAAATAGGATTCCGCTTGAGCCTTAGAAGTTTTTAGGGGATGATGGCATGTCTTGGCTACCATACTGATGGAGATCCTAATGAGTTGTGTGGTCTGCGTACTTATTATAGGCTTAGGCTTAGAGGATCATTTTAAGATTTATTTTATTTTATTTTATTTTATATCTTATTAATTTCATTACACTGTTGATACCAATCGCTGACTGCAGAATTAATATGCTATGATAGCCATTGAGAAATCCAGGGACCGTGACCCGAGGCTCTAATAAGCATGTTATGATAGGTAAAGTTTATGTTAATTATCAATCAATAAGCATGTTATGATAGGTAAATCCTAAGTTACCAGGACTCTCCTATTCCCCTTAACGTACCCGTGTCAACATGGCACGGCACGGCAAGCAATCTGTATCCATTACGAGTATCCAATTTGGACATCTGAATCCTTTAGGCTTGATGATAGAAGAAGGAAAGCTCAAATGTAATAGAAAAGAAGGGTTATGTAATTCTGAGATCGATGGAACCTCTCATTTTCACCATTTTCATTTGCATTATTATTGAGTACATTCTTTTATTATAAAAATAGCCTCAAGCGTTATACTCTTATATGACATATTAAGTTTTGTAAGTGTGTAATACGTGTCCACTTACCCAAATCCAAAGCCTTGGATGCATTTCAAGTCGAGTCCACGTTTTTCTAAAATTTGGGATTTAGTGCACACATACCCATACTCGACACAAGTACCCGAGTCCAGTTAACACAGGGTAAAGTGCAGAAATACAAAGCATAAAACATCCACAAGCATGAATACCTATGTTTACGTGAAAACCCCAACGGGGAAAATCCATGGGACCTAATCTTGGCATAGCAAATTAGCCATGAGAAAGTATTTTACAACTATGTTCAGGATTTCCAACCCTAAAACCCCTAGTTTCCTATTGACACAGACTGATCACCAAACTCTCTGCTCAAGTCTTAAGGCACACAGTCTACTCCGCTAATAAATCTGCCGTCATGCGATTGGTTTCTCCAATCTGCAAGTTAATCTCCAATGAGATCCAAACTTTGATTTATAGTGTTATGGTTGACCAATTGTCAAACATATAATGAAGCTCCGTACTTTAGAAATCAATCAGACAATAATATAGGGTATTCTACGAAGAACCTCATTTGCGACTGAAAAACAAAGCTGTCAAACTCTCTCACAGTTGTGTAGTTGTGTCTCTTATGTCTTTCTTCAACTTATCTTTTTACCCAAATAGCGTTGACTTGAGGTTCCAACCTTTTATTTACCATTCTTGAGGGTGAGTTGATAATTTTAGACCCCAACAACTTTTTATTTCTCCCCCAATTTATTATAGGAATTAAATTTATTTCATCTTTAAGTGTATCCCTCTTAAAGCTTTTAATTTATTTAAGTTCAAAATTTCATTACTTAAGGGTGTATAATTTTGACCCTCTCATAGCCTTTGTAGGTTCTTTTATTTCTCGAAGGATTGTGAATATTTCTTTGTAGCAAATCATTAAAATGTTCATGACATTGATATTTTATGTGACCTCTTCTTTTTTGACAAGTGACATTTTATGTGACCTTTTCTTTTTTGACAAGTGATATTTTATGTGACCTTTTTTATAACAATAGTGACAAGTTTTAATGTGTTTAGGAGAATCAACAACTTTAGGGATTCTCTCCCCCCTCTTCCCTTCTCTCTTTCTCTCTTATAAATTCAGTCTTAGAAGTGGAGTGTGTACTAGAATTGCCAACACATTCCGAACCACTCTTATTTCCAACAAATTTATTTATCCCTAAGAATTTATCTAAATTTTCAGTGCCACTTGTGAAGTTTTGAATTCCCCTGTACCTGTTCTGCACACATTGGAAAGATCTTAGCATGTATTTTGTATTGGGTTTACCAAAGATTGCTAGAGGACATTATTTTGTTCTAGGTGTTAGGATAGGTTTTCTTTAATGACACATTTTATTCCTTGTAATAAAATAGTTGATGCCTCACATGTGGTTGAATTGTTCTTTAAGGAGATTGTTAGGCTCCATGGATTACCCACTTTCATTGTGTTTGATAGAGATGTCACAGGTGTGAGTTACTTTTGGAAGACACTTTGAGACTTTTTGGGACTAATATGAAATTCTCTTGTGGTCAGACCGAGGTTGTTAATAGGAGTATAGGAGATTGATTTGGGTGTTTTGAAACATGATCACTCCTCTAGTAATGTCGTGGCTATGTTGGATACGTGTCCTACATAGACACACGTGGGACATGGCCAGACATGTGTCCAATTCGGCTAAAAGTGTCCTATAATTTGAAATTTTTTTTTTTTTCATAGTTGGACATGATTGGGACACACATCGACGTGGCATGGACATGATGGGAACACGTTTGGGACACTTTCAGGACGCGGTGGGGTAGCTTTGCAATTATTATTATTATTTTTTAAAAAAATGGGGTTCCAATGTAATTATAATATATATTAGGGTAAATTACACTTAGACCCCTTGAGGTTAGGTCATTTTTCACCTATATGAAGATTTTGGTTTTAACTTGCACTTATACCCCAATTTACTTTTTGGGCTCTGACACATGTGAATTGACCCTTTTACCCTTAATTTTTTAATACAATTTAATACAAATAAATTTATAATTTTAAAAGACAGAACTACCCCTCTCTGCATCTAATACACACAACACCCAACACCCCTCTCTGCATCTAACACACACCACGATCACTATAGTCCAACCTGCCACCACGATTGAGTCAGCCATAGTCCCCTTTGATTGATCTACCAACCTTCTTTCAGCATCTCTCACCCCGAGTTTACTCTGTTGCATCTATCAATTCTCTCCCATGAGTCGCGATCTTCTTTTGGATCTTGTCATATAATCATGCGAAACTGTTTTTGACGAGGCTTTTGTGATCATGAGGCTTAATAGTGATTATGTGCTCATTGCAATTGTGGCAAACTGGAAATTATCTGAAAATATTTTTATTTAATTTTTTGTCTACCTGATTTTGAGGAAAGCCGAAAGCGGTCACTATACTCAATTTTCTGACAGTATTTTCTGGTAGTTGAGCCCATCTTAAACCACTTGCATTTATATGCTTGAGTTGTTATTCAAGTTGTTACTTCGTCCTTGAATGTCTCCTTTTATCATTCCTTTATTCTATTTTTTTTTCTTTTTATTTGCTGGATAGCTTTTCATTGAAGTCCCCTTTTAGCTGTGTATGTCAGCATATTTGATTTAGATCATTAGAATGTTTTAACAATATGCATGATGCATACTTTTTTATTACGTGTGATTCAGTAGTCATTCTAAGAGTTTGTATTTTCCTTTAAACTATTGTGTTAGTTATTTGTATTATATGATTACAATTAGTCTTTTTTTTTTTTGGTTCCTTTTCGATTTCTATCAATTTATCCTCTGATTTAATTGGTTCCTTTTCGATTTCTATCTGCTGAAATCCATCAATTACTGTGTTAATTTGTCAGGAAAAAAAATATATGTAGCAAAGGCAACGGTGCTGCTTGTAAGGTCACTTGGGGGTATTTTTGTCATGAAAAAATTGAGGGGTATTTTTGTCATGAAAAAATTGAAATACACTTTTTTTTTGTCAACAAATGGTCAAAAGGGTAGAATAGTCATTTTATACTTAAAAAGTACTCTGATGTCACTACAAATTGACATTTGGGGTGTAAGTGAAATATGAAATCACTCTTTCAAATATGAGTGAAAATTAAAACCAAAATCTTCATCTAGGTGAGAAATGACTTAACCTCAGGGGGTCTGAGTGTAATTTACCCAATATATTTTGGGTTAATTAAACTTATTAGGGTTTCTATTTTTACATGCTTATTCTTATTGTTTAGTTGAGATTTAAAAGTCGGTTAAAGCTAGTTTAATCTTGAATTTCTGTTATAATGAATTAATTTGATTTTTCAACCTATTTACCCCTTCTCTAGGTACTTTGGGCCTCAGCTTACTCTACCGTTAGAGCTTAGGTTACGGGCCTATCCCTGAGGCCTGACCCATTTATCAGCCAAAGTCTGACCAGTCTTAGGCCCAGCAGGCCTATCACCTGATTTTTCTGAGTCAAACCAGCTCGTGGCTGACATCTATACAATATTTCTTTCACTTTCTCCATTGCCTCACTGATTGGTACAATATATAATATATCATCATCATCATCACCCTTTCTTTTGTCCCATATGGATGGGGTACAATATATAATATATGTATATGCATATACATTTTGGGTAATGAAGAATTGAACTGCCTGCTAGCCACTTGAGATTCTCGGATGGTGTGAACACCGAATGGACACAACCACCCACAAACCACGTGCATTTTACTTTTGGTGAGTCTCAAAAGGTCAAACCTGGTGACCCAAGGAGAGTACTCCCAAGGACCTTACCATAGCCGAGCTAATAGCCTTCTTCTCTGTAGTTTTAATTGACAAAGAAGCAGTCATGATTGTTTTTTTTATTTTTTATTTAAATTTATTTATTTCCCCTGATTAAGTGTTGATCGACTAGACAATGCTGCTACCACTTTCTCCTTTGCCTTTCTATGTGGCAATAATAGTTAATGACTTGTTTTTTACAGCTTTAATGGACAAAGAAGAAATTATGAAAATCTTGGATGCTCTACACTAAAGTGCAGACTTGCCAGGGCCAAAGTGCCTCCTTCCCCAAGTCCTGATACACTGGTGAGAGAACCTCACAAATATTTTGATCAGGTTATCATTACAGTTCGTTCTGGGGATGGAGGTCATGGTGCCGTTCTTGGTATGCCTAACCAAAGGGTTCCTTCAAAGTCACAAGGAAAACTTGAGAAGGAGAAAACGAGGAAGAAGAGTTTGTATAAAAGAGATTTTGATGGGTCTCTTATCCTTCCTATGGGTGGACATGGAGGGGATGTTGTAATTTATGCAGATGAGGGCAAAGATACATTGTTGGAGTTTCACAAAAAGAGCCGCTACAAAGCAAAGCGTGGGGGAAATGTTGATGCAATGGGTGTTTTGACATCTCTGGTCAATGGTGGACTTGCTGCCCCGACACTGCGTATTCCAGTACCTTTAGGTTTGTGTGTTACATTATGTAGTTAATTAAAAAAATATCTTGCAGACTTTCTATGTCTCTATTTGAGCAACAGTCGAGGAATTATAACTAAAAATATTGAAAGTTGGGTACAACCTTACAATTTTAGGTATGAAAAGAATGTGATGAAATGAATTTTATTCATGAATGAGATTGTGAAAATACAGTGCTGATATGTTCTATCATCTTCTGCGCATTGACAGGTACGGTTGTAAAACATAAACGAGGGAAACTATTGGCAGATCTAGCAAATCCAGGTGATGAGATTCTTGTTGCAAGAGGTGGACAAGGAGGGGTAAGGCATTCACGTTCCCAATGGCAGTGAAATTCTCAGCGGATAATGTTCTTAGTATCCCTTACGCATTTAGCTAGTCTGAGCTATCTTTTCTTTCCTAACCTTTCTATCGAATATATTGCGTTTCATAATAATAAGATAGACTAATATTTTAGGGGTTTGTTTATGTTCTGTTTTGTGTTGTTTCTTTCTATGTTTTGTCTTCATCAGTTTTATTTATTTATTAGTTGGTGGGGGTGAGGGTGCTTGTTTTGTTGGGGTGGGTGGGCAGAGGCTTGAGGCTTTTTGTTTCTGTGAATACTTTTACTTTTAAAATGTGACTATTTAGACTCCGAAGATTGTTTCCGCTTTTGTTAGAGCTTTCTTCATTTCTGCTATGCAATACACCTTAGTGGTATCCCCCCCCCCCCTCCAGTAGAGGTCAAACAAGAAATAAAAGTCCCATAGAATGACACCTCCCACAGAACTTCAACAGCAATGGCAGAAGGAGAGATATTACACCCTGATGTAGAGCAGCATTCCTATGACACCAAAGTCTCCAAATAGCATTGGCAAAAACAGAAGTCAAAATAATTGATTTCATTGAAAGAGATTTAGTCATCCCCAGGAACCAATCAACCAGCTGAGCAATTGTAAAAAAATTGCCTGCAGAAATATGAAGCCTATCAAAGATCTCTCTCCAAAATGGTGTAGCAAAAGAGCAGCTACAGAAGAGATGGTCATTGTCATATTCAGTGGTATTAGAATTGTTAGCATATATGATATCCACGATTTATGGAATGACTTACCATATTAGCAGAGATTTGATTATGCTATAGAATATGCCGTAGAATATGCTTTAGAATATGTTGCGACTTGATTTAGATTTGATTTAGTTTCCTTTCTTGTAATATGAGCATGTGCTCTTATTTTATCTATAAATGCTATAGCTGTGAATGAGTGATTGATATCATTTAAGCCTTTACATATTATAAATCTCATTCAAACCTTTTTCATATTTCTCTTCTCTTTCTTCTATATTGTATTTCTACTAGTATTATGACTGTTTTTAGCATGTGATTGGACTATCTATGACTCTTATTTAGCATGTGATTGGACCTGTGTGTTCAACCTTGACTTATAATTTGGTTTCTCTTGTAATTGGCGGCAGATCAGCTTGTTAGAAGTGCCAGAGTATAGAAGAAAAAAACTAATGGCTTCAACCACAAATGTGATGAGAGATGACAGTGATAAGGTAAAAACCAATATTGCTAATAATGAGAGACATTTATGACTCAATTTCTTTCAGTAAGCCTAAATTTGGAAGGTTTTTGTACTCTTGTAGCCTCATATTTGTTGATCAGCCCCTTTTTTGTTTTCATTTATTTTTTTATACAAGTTAATTCCTAGAATATAATAATTTGGAACATGTTATTCTCCACTTCATATGTGATCGTGATTTAATTTGGTATTGCCTGCTATATGATTAAAAAATAAAAAATAAATACGCATTCATCCATTCACACGTAATTATTTTCGAATATGTTTATTCAAAGTTCGTAATTGTTACTGAATTTTTTTATATCTGATGAACTGTAGCTAACAAGCACACTGGAGTGATGGAAATATAAACCCTTCTTTAATATTGTATTGAATCATGAATCACTTTGTAATTCCAAAGTAAAGTGAGGTCTAGGAGATATTTATGCATTTGAGCTAGCTATCAAGGCATGATAGTCGTCCGGTTAACGGAAATGTTTTTGTCACTGAAAATATGTAACTTTTAAGTTAACCAGATATTTATGACATGCATTCATGGATCACCACTGTGACTCCAGTGTATTCTACATATCATTGCTGATGGATAATTACAATGTAAAGAAGTTGACACACGAAATGGTAAAATGCTCTTGTGCTCCCTAGCAGCTGAATGTCATATAAGATGAATTCTGTACCATGTCAGTCAGAAGCAGTTCTTTACTTATTAATAAAACGATCTATATTGAATGATCTGACCACTATGCTGGACACCTCAAAGCATATATACTTCCAACTTATTTTATTGATATTGTCACTTTGTCATGAAGAAATATATTTTTTACTGGAGAAATAGGTTGCCCACTTATAAAGTTGAAAATAACTTTCAAAGCTAACGTCCACAATGAGATCCATCATTCCTATCATGAAAACATCATCATTCTCAATTGATTTCAGGTTCTAGTACTTGGTCAGCCTGGGGAGGAGATTAGTTTAGAGTTGATTCTAAGAGTTGTTGCTGATGTTGGTATTGTAGTAAGTGTACTCTTTTTTTTTTTCCTTTCTGTAAATGCATGGAAATTTATTCAGATGCATATATATATGTAAGCATGTACATACATAATGTCATATACAAAAATTCTTACTTACATAAATGCATGAACACATCATTCATGAATGCATATAATTCCATGCTTACAGATGTGTGCAAACATACATATGTTCATTGAAATTCTATAACTTGCTTCTTATAATTCTTATTTTTATTTATTTATTAATGAATTATTCTGGAACTTTTTAATCTTGTTGCAAATGGTATTGTAACTCACAATGTCTGTTCCATGAGTTGATTGGAATTTGGAGGAGCTAAAAACCCAATAGTACTTAAATTTAAAAGAAACCGTGTCTGCTGGACTAACCTGATTAAATTTAGATTCTATTTCTGTAACATTAAAATATTGAAATATATTTAAAGAACTCTTCAATAATTATTCAGTTTGTAGTTGACTTGATCCAACCCTAGTCAATTGTCAATCCAATTTACTGGTCAACTGTTAGAGGTTCTTCTCCCACATCAAATCCGGATGGGGAGGGTTTTGGGCTTATAAGAGCGGGCAGAAATGTGGAGAAATATGTTAGAATTGAAAGGATTGAGAATTAGTCGAACCAAAACTGAGCAGGTAGAAATGTGCAGAAATATGTTAGAATTGAAAGGATTGAGAATTAGTCGAACTAAAACTGAGTATATGGAGTGCAAATTTAGTAAAGATTTGGGCATTCATAATATAATGTTCACACTTCAAAACCAAAAAGTTACTCAAAATAACTATTTTTGATTTCTAGGATCGATAATGCAAAAGGATGGAGAGATAGATAGTGATATAGCTAAGTAGAATTGGAGCGGGCTGGACCAAGTGGAGACAAGCTAGTGGAATTTTATGTGATAAAAGAATAACACATAGGCTAAAAGGAAATTTTTATAGAACTGTAATTACACCAACTATGTTGAATGGAGCAGAATGTTGGGCTCTAAAAAAGAAACAATAGTAATGCCTTCATGCAGTGAAAGCGAGAATGCTAAAATAGATGAGCGGAGTGACTAGGAGAGATAGAATAAGTAATGAGAGTGTGAGAGAAAAATTAGGGGTGGATCCCATTAGTGAGAAAATTAGAGAAAGTAGACTTAGATGGTTTGAACACCTACATTGGACACCTAGAGATGCACGGTCAAACGAGGAAAAGTAGTTGTAATAGAAGTTAAGAGGCGGAGAGAGAGCCCGACCAAAAATAACTTGAGATAAGGTTATTAGAAATGATTTAAAAAAATTAAATATAGTAGGCGAAATGGCCTGTAATACGAAGGATTAGAGAAAAAGAATTCATGTGGCTGACCCCATTCATGGAATTAAGCCAATGATAATGATGATGATGATGATGAGGGCGGGTAAGAAACTCCACCTAGTAACTTAAGCTTTTGGGTCTGATAGCAAGCGGCCGGCCGGTTACAAGTGGTATCAGAGCAGGTTCAGTCCTTGATGCGGTGTCATGCCAAGCACCCATATGGCTGGTGTTTGGGTTCGGGTTGTTATTTGGCCCTCCTGCTGTTGGGGGGAACGGGTAGGCAGGGTGGTCCGACCATGAGGGCATTGCGAGTTCAGATGGGAAAGAATGTTAGAGTTTCTCATCTTCCATCGTTTCCAGATGCAGACGGTCTTGGGCTTATAAGGGCGGGTAGGCAAAGCTTTTGGGTCGGATGGCAAGTGCCCGGCCTACTACATCAACTATCCATACTGTCTTATTATTATTATTTGGCCATTGTATAGTACTTGAAACAAATTGCTTACAGAATCATCTGAGGACCGTTGAATAAATTGGTTAGGTCCCAATATGGAGAATCTGATTTGGATGACAATCTAAATGTTGTGACTCCCTCTTTGGTTGGGCTTATAAGTGCGGTCAGGTGGTTCAACCTAACAGCTTAAGCTTTTGGATAGGATGGCAAGCGCCCGGCCCTTAACATCAATTATCCATACTGTCTTATCTTTAGGCCATTGTATAGCATTTGAAACAAATTTCTTACAGAATAATCCGAGGACTGTTGAATAAACTGGTTAGGTCCCAATATGGAGAATCTGATTTGGACGGCAATCTAAATGCTGTGACTCTCTCTGTGGACCCTGGTTGGTGAAACAATCAAAAGGTTTCTTACTGTTTAATTGGCCATTCTTTCTTCCACTAACTTGGTGAGTTTTGACTTATTACCATTGTCAATGATCTACAAAAGATGTGGTTGGTTTTTTGGTTCGACTAAAATGGAGTTAGTGAAGGGGTTGAAGAACTAAGTTGAGGCCTATCATGCATGGTCTTTTTAAGTTGTGTGAAACACTTGTTACAGGTACAAGATACTTTTATGTATATACGGGACACATCGAATGTGTTCGCCCTGTTTGGTTGGACATGCAACCAGCAAGCTTATCATATAGTTGTGGTATATCATGTAATTGTAAATAGAACTTTCTTATTATGTTACTTTTTATTACTTCAAAACTAGTGAAATTTCATGGTATCAAAATGTACATAAATACTCTATTATGCCCAAGAACATAAAAGAGGAATATAAAAAGATCCAAATCTTTAGCTATGTCATGGACTATCCCGTTGACTTTGTTTTGCCCAGCGCATGGACATATACACACACCTGAAAACATATCGGAGTCCTTTAACATAGCAGGGGCTTCATTATGATAGAGCTCAGTGTTCTCTTTTAAATATTTTTTTTAGCATAATAATTTATTAGAAAATATTTTACCAAGTGAAAAGGAAAGCAAAAATTACGATTTGTTGTTGCTCTAGAATGTTAATTATCTCACTTTCTTCACCAGAGAATCTAGATCACATGGTCTACTGAGTATCATTAGTGTCGATATAGCAGTGGATTATTGATCCAGATCTATACCTGTTACTTGGCTGGTTATTTAAGTATCATTTGCAGGTTTTAAAAAGTCATACGCCAACTTTAGATAATTATATGCTCTTTGTCCAGGGACTCCCTAATGCTGGAAAATCAACCCTATTGGCAGCCATAACAGGCGCAAAACCTGATATTGCGGATTATCCTTTCACAACGTTAATGCCAAACCTTGGACTCCTTGACGGCGACTCTAGTTTAGGGCCAGGGAAGTTTTCATCTGAAGCAACGTTGGCAGATCTGCCTGGTCTTATTGAGGGAGCTCATCTAGGGAAGGTATTTCGGGTTTTGCATCTGACTACAGCTTATTTTTTATTAGTAAGTTAGCTTATATTTGATGATGTCATATTGCAGGGTCTTGGTCGCAAATTTTTGAGACACCTGAGAAGGACTAGATTGTTGGTCCATGTTGTTGATGCTGCTGCTGAGGATCCTGTTAATGACTATAGAACTATAAAAGAAGTATGTCTTTTTCCAAACAGAAAACTCGTTGATATTCTTTGGAGATCATTTTCCTCTTTCCTAAGATATCCTTGTCGATTTTACTTGCTTAGATGATATAATCAAGTGTTAACATTTTTCTAATGAATTGATTTAAGTTAAACTCGCACAGGTAGGTGAGTTGGCCAAGTCAATGGCTTAGGAAACATGCCTTAGGTTTGACTCACTTTGAGCTTGCCCAATGCATGTGGTATGTGGGAGATTACGTGCATCTGTAAGGCCAGTCTCAAACTCAAACTGTGTTGTCTTGGTATGACCATAAAAAGAAAGAGAAAGGACAGTTATTAGAATTAGTTCCAAGTAGAGTTGACCCTGGCGTGATATAAGTTCTTGGCTTGAATCTTGATCTGTCTTGCTTATGTTCTTGAAATATATAATATTTTTCCATATTTTTTTGCCCTCATTATATATATATATATATATGAACTATAAAACCATCTGTAATAAAATTTGTTGCATTTTTGTGTACTATTTGCCTCATAGAAGTTCTATCACTTTTATGTAACTGCCTGTCTATTTTATTTTCATCCTTTGTGATGAAAATCATCATTGTCCTTGCCTTTATTGGAACACAGTCTCATAAGCTTATGAGCTTGGTCATCACAAACGAATGGCCGACAATGGCGTCGGCCATTCGTTACTTGCCTACATAGCTTACCTGAGCAACATTTGTGTCTTTTCAAGTAATTGTATGCAGAACCTTTTGTCTTTTTCTGTTCACTTTCTTATATGTTGAACTATATAAAATTATTATTTTGCAGGAACTGCGTTTGTATAATCCTGATTATCTTGAACGACCATATATTGTTGTGTTAAATAAGATTGATCTTCCTGAGGTACGTGGTTAAGATAGCTTTGTCAATGGTACTGAGATACTTCTTTTAGCTCATAAGTTGTCTTTGTGCCAGTGACCTGTTTCCAGTTTTAGTCAATAGTCTGCTTAAACTATCAGGAATGTTTCTGGATCTCAACTCAAAGTAATTATAATCACAGGCAAGTGATAGGCTTCCATCTTTGACTCGAGAAATATTGAGAATTGGTAGTAATGAGGTACCTTCTCCACCAGAGACGTCCTCTCTAGATGAACAATCGCCATCTGCCGAGGGTCAAACTGTAAATGTTCTTTCTTCAGAGGTCTCTGATACAAGTAGGATCGTTAAAGAAATTGAAGATTATCCACGCCCTGCTGCTGTTGTGGGTGTTAGTGTTCTGTAAGTTCCTCAGTCTTATTTTCTTTTCCTTTTGATTTGTTGTATATGATATTATGCTGTGCCTTATCGTGGATTCTGTTTCCTTGTAAGATTCAGGATTTTGCTTGTCTATGGTATTACATTTCAACTCTTCCTGAAATTTGAAATTACATCTTATTTGACTCGTGGGACCAACAAACAATATTTTGTAACAGATGCACAAAATTCTTAGTAATAAATGAACAATTTCCTTGTGTGCTTTAAATATAATTAGTAGGAGTGAAAGCTGGAGCTTGTCTCAAAAGCCTTCAGAACAACAGGATTTTCCTGTGTTCTGATCACCATTGTTGGAATAGGTCAACCAGAGTCTTCATTTCAATTTTTAAAAATTCAAATGGTATAGTTGTCTGGGTTGGTGTCTCATTTCAATTTAGTATATCCATTTGAATGAGGTTTTTCGTAGATATATCTTTATCCTTTAATCACTGGATTGGTGAAAAGAGGTTAACTGCGTGAGTCCTGTGTGGGGTGTATGACTGGAGTAATTTTTAGCAGAGTGATTTCTGGAAATGCAAGTCATGTTCCATGCTTCTGGAGCTTAATGGATCCGCTTGTGCTCCAAATATAATAGTTTTTATCCTGTAACCATGTTTTAAGGTTATTTTCCCTTAGTATTTCATGTTGTTGAAATACAATTTTGTTCTTAACTACTATAGATCCTCGATTCAACAAATTATCAATGTATTTCTGCTCATTTAAAAAATAAATAAATAAATAAAAACAAAACAAAAACAAAAAATGGTGGGTTTTTTTTTTTTTTTTTTGTGGAAGTATGACCTGGATTTGTCTCTATACAGAGAGCATCCTGAGTGAGTCTTGCTATGTTTGCAGAAAAGGTATCAGGATAAAGGAGATGTTGAAAGAGATAAGGGCATCCCTGCGAAAGTGCCGAGATTCCAAAGAGGCATTGGAATCGAATGTGCAAGTGTGAGAGCTTCAACAGCAGTGAATGATTTTGACAGTAGTCTTCCATCTTCAATCGCTGGCCTGTCTGTCCGGTAAATTACATATGTCTGGATTTTGAATGTGTTACTGTGGGGGAGCTGTATCATCCATTTGCCCCTACAAAGTTGCAGGTTCACCTCGGCCATGTCAGAAATGTATAGTCGGCATTCAGTTCTCCACTATCCCACTACCGCTGCTTGGCTCCTTGCTATTTTTATATATCTACCACCTTGAGGCCATTGGCACCGTCAAAATCCTATGGATTCCTACTTAGCCTGTTAATTGTAGTATTAATTATTTAGTCTTGTCGTTGATTATGTCCAGCATTTTTGTGCTAGTGGGAGGTGCCAAAACCGGTTTTTATTCAGTTGACCGGAACACTGGGATTTTGTTATGTGCAATCAGATTATAGATGGAACATTTTAATAATTAATCCTTATAGAGATGCCATCCAAATCAAAGGTGTTATAAGAATTAGAGAGGTAGGTATTTGAGAGTTGGATAATCTTACAGCTGTTCGATTTCTGTGTGCTTGGTTGTTCAATCCAGACACACACAATATTACAGGTCAGCTTTGATATTATCCCGGAATGCATAATGACATATATTACGTAAGAAATATTACAGGTACTTTTCTGGGTGCACTAGTTAGGACTTGGTTTAACAAAACAATTTTTTTATATATTTTTTTTAAGTTCAAACAAATACACATACTAGGCTCAAACTCTCCATAGAGTAGCTATCCGCTCATTTCCATTGGAAACAGGGACAGAGCCCGGCTTAGGGCTAGGGGTGCATAAAAACTCGTTAGAACCTAGTTTTGGTTCTGCTCCTTTAGGGTCCGCCTCTGCTTTTAGTTCTAAAATGTGGAACTGTTGGTCCACGGTTCTTGTTCCGATTCTAAGTCCATTAGAACCGAACCGTAAACTATATATGTACATACATATATTACAATATTAATAAACAATAAAATAATAATTTTTTAGACGACTTCATAAAGATAACAATTTATTTTGTAGACGATTTCATAAAGTTAAGGTTACTCTCAAATGTTTTTTTACTTTAAATTTCATATTTGATTAAGGAAAAAAAAAAAAAAAATAGCTCATTTGCTTTTAGATTATAAATATATTTTATTTCATGGTTGAGAGGTTTATTATTGTCCATTTGTTGTATAATGTATTTGCTTTAATAAGCTAAATCCGTGTTGTTGGTAGTGATCGGTTTGGTTTAAGCCTCAACGATTTGGTTTTAATTTTTTTAAGAATTGTTAAAATCGGTTCAGTTCCGATTTAGTTTGAAATCTTATTCTAATTTTTTAAAAATTATTAAAATCGGTTCAGTTTTGATTTAATTTAAAATCTTATTGAACCGAATTGTCTATTATATGTCTATTTTCATCGAAAAGATAAATAAAATTAATTCATGCTAACTTAAAAAAAAGAGAGGATTAAATCGTTTATGTAATCAAGTGATAACAATATAATACTGGGAAAATTAGAACTCCAACATAGGAGGTTTATTTATTGTTGACTTAATGGTCCTATAAATTAAAAAGTAGGACTAATTTGTATTTGTCGTGTGTTGTTCAAGTTGAATTATACTTCTATGCTTCCAAAAGTTTAGTTTACTATATATATATATATACATACATACACACTACATATTTTTTCTTATTTGAAAAAATGAAAGTAGTTTGTAAAAATGAGATGATATTCCTAAATCATTTTCGATACACACTTCTAACCTATATACCTAAATTACAAGTTCATAACACACTAGACACAAGTAAACGAAATATAAATTGAATCAAGTGCATAAAACACTTCTAATATATACTTTGTAAATCTCTTTCACTCCTTATTTGAAAAAGTGTGCTAATAACCTCTTTATTTTTTTAACATTGCGCAGAAACACCCTTCAAATAAAAATCGAACAGAAAGTAATATTGTAATACTCGTTTTGCCCTTTTACCCTTCTAAAAATGTCCAAGGAAGCGCGTATGTTAATAATTTCATAATATGAGAGTATTATGTACACATTTAACCTTTTAAAAAATAATAAAAAAAAAATTCTCTATATATTTTCCTTACCAGTGTATTATTCCCTTCTAAGTTGAGATTTATATGTTTCCTATGATTTAATGCTACTCATAAGTTAGAAAGTCTAATATGTGTATTTCTTTTACTGGTTAAATAGAGATAAAAAAAATCTCAATAATAATAATAATTTGTTCTCACAGTTGTCAGATTATTGGAGAGTAAATCACATGAAATGAAACCCAGTTCTTTTCATAATTATAAAAAAGAAAAATTAAATTAAAGATACTTATTGTTATATATATATATATATAATATACATTTAATTTTTTAAACTATACAATTTGCAATAAATTTTTACAAACAAATATATATATATATAATTCTTTACATAACAAAAAATAGGTATTCGAATTCAAAACAACAATAGTTTTTAGAATAAAATGCAGAAAACACCACTATTAGATTCCGTTTGGGATTGTTAGAATGTCGAAAGCGCTTTTAGTAATAGAGCTATCATAAAATTGTTATCAGTAAAACGCAATTATGCGTTTGATGGCACATTGCATAAATCACGTTTTATACTTGAAGGAGTTTTAAAGTTGTTCGGCAATAATGTTGCATTTATTACTTATTTTACTATATTACCCCTACACTAATAAACATGTGTGTAAATTTTTAATATTAAATATTATAAAATTCTACTTATTTCAATAATTTATGAAGATCAACTTGTATTGGTTTTATTTTTATTTTATTTTTATTTTTAATATCACATATTTTGTTTATGATATATTGTTTTTATTCAGTACTAAAATATAAATAAGGTAAACATAATTTAATAATTATTAATTTGTATTCAATTTAGGATCTTTAAGTAATACAGTAAAATAAGCAAATTCATTCATATGCTATCTAAAAATGAAATTTGATAATATAATGTTTTGCAGAGTTCTAGAAAAAATATGATATTCGTTTGCTATTTGTTTGTAACAAGAACAAAATTGTATTTATAAAAAATAGAAAGGGATTATATTGTCTAAAAAAAATTAGTTACCTAAAATGATAAACCTAATTTTAAAAGCTAGATTTTTTAACTTCACTTAAATAGTTAAATTTTAAAAGCTACAATTTCTAACTTCACTTAAATAGTTAAATGCATTTTTTTGATGTAATCTCTACCATTTATAAGCGCATTATTTTTTCACCGAACATATTCAATTACAATTTTTTTAAATGAAAGTGAAACATGTAAAATGTGAATATAATGGCAATTTAGGCTAAGTCTATCTTAAACGTGTCATGAGGGACTATTTGTACAAATTGAAAGGGTATTTTTAATACATGAATGGTATGATACGTAATATAAATATACATATATTTTTACATTTGACCCAACATAAATTTCATATGAAAGATTTTGCATAAAATACATTTTGTGGTATTCCTATTATATTTTAGATTTTACAATCAGACATAAATTTATCTTGCATCATTAGATTCAATGATTATCCTCCAGCTATGTCTGAGAATATGGAATCAATTGCATGAATTTAAAATTTAAAAAAAAAATAATAATTTTTTTTATAATTTATAAGGAAGTCTAGCAACATGAGCATTGGGGATGCAAAATTGGGTTTGTGCCCCACATAATCCATTGATTTTACATTACTTTTGAATAAAAAATTTGGCCTCAAAGATAAATTAGGTCCTGTTTGGGTTGGAAGATTGGGCTCAGCTCGAGAGTTGGTGACCATGGGGATCGGAGATGGTTCTTGGCGGATGGATTCATCAACGGCTTGGTCTGCAACGAGGCGGAGGACTACGAGGCCGAAGTTGTCGCTCTCTGCGGCAGAGGCGATGTTGTTCTCGCGTGGTTCAGGATTAGGAGAGAGAATGTTGAGAAAGGATTGAGAAAGAAATTTCAAGGTCTCATGGTTCCATTCCATTGTTTATTCTCTTGTTTTTGACACCCAGATATTAATCATCAAAACTCTAGTGTCAAAAACCGGGGAAACATTTATTCAATAAACAATGGAATGGAACCCTGAGACCTTGCAATTTCTTTGTCGATCCTTCCTTAACACTCTCTCTCCTAATCCTGAACCACGCCGCCATTCCGAGAACAACATCGCCTCTGCCGCCGAGCGCGGCAACTTCGGCCTCGTAGTCCTCCGCCTCGTTGCAGACCAAGCCGTTGATGAATCCATCCGCCAAGCCGCCGCCGTGAACCATCTCCGATCCATGTGGTCACCCAATCCTCGAGCTGAGCCCAATCTTCCAACCCAATCCTCGTGAAATTGCTTCACCTTGCATTACTGGGCTGACATCTGTTCTCAACAAAGTTTGTAAGAACCCTAAAACTCCTCTTTTTAATCACTATTTCTTTGAGGCGGTAGCCATTCTTGTTAGGCGGGCCTGCGAGGAGGAATCTTCTCTTGTATCGGCCTTTGAAACAAGCCTCCTTCCCAGCCTTCAAATGATCTTGGCTAAAGATGTGCTCGAGTTCTTCCCTTATGCGTTCCAGCTACTGGCTCAGCTTGTTGGGTTGAACAGACCCCCAATCCCACTGCACTACATACAGATCTTTGACATTCTCCTGTTGCCTGATTCATGGAAAAGAACTGCAAATGTCGCAGCCCTTGTGCGTTTGCTTCAGGCCTTCCTTCAGAAGTCACCCAGTGAGCTTAACCAAGAGGGTAGGTTGACTCAGGTGCTTGGGATATTCAACAAGCTTGTTTCATCTCCTAGTACAGACGAACAGGGATTTTATCTGATATTTATGTCTCTCTTTCTGGTCAAACATGGTTCTCTGAGCCTTGTGGATTCGATGAATGCTGTTCAGCCTAGTATATTTCTTGTGATATTGGAGCAGTTTTGGATACCTAATCTCAAGATGATCACAGGTTTCATTGAGCTTAAGTTAACTTCAGTTGCTTCAACTAAACTTATCTGTGAATCTCCAACCCTGTTGGATCCTGCAGCTGTTAGATTTTGGGGGAAAATGCTGGACAGCATTGTCACCCTTCTTTCTCGGCCAGAGCAGGATAGAGTTGAGGCGGAACCAGATGTTCCGGATTTTGGGGAAAATGTGTGTTATGGTGCTACATTTGTTCATTTGTACAATGCCGGAAGAAATGAGGAGATCCTCTGAGGGATGTTAGGGACCCAAAACAATTTTTGGTAGCTTCATCGGCAAATCTTTCTGCTCTTTCCCCAGGGATGTACCCCCAAATCATCAATGAAAATCTGGATCCAGCAAATCAAGCGGCATTGCTTCAGCTTTGCAGCTCCTACAATCTCTCTATATTGTGAGAAAGAAGTTATCTCACGGTACGTTTCCATACTTGTTTCCCACTTGTTCAAATGGTATTTACCTTTATGTTACTATGTT